AGAAATTATTGAAAAGAATATTCTTCGTTCAGATTGACTTTTAATTCATAATATGGGAATTTTCCACACTATCAGATTCATTATTCATTCACTCTGTCTACTTAAGTAAACTGAAATTTAAAACTCTCACCCTATCGCACCGTATAGCGTAGGCAGGAGTCACTGCATGTATTGCGATAGTTGCTTTTTTTCTAGATTAGTTATCTTTACCAGGAACTATGATTTCTTTTCTGAATAAATTACTGTGTGACCTCGATTCGTGTATGTACTGGACCTCAAAATCATCACACAGTATTTGGCAGGTTATTTTGTTTTACCTAATTAATACTACTGGATATCTCAAACTTAATAGCTTCTTTACAAGCGAAATTATAGGTTTAAATGACACAGAGGCTTCAAATTCTGTCTTGTGTTACAACCAACGCTAATATTAATATTCAATTTATTTCATTAGGTCATGTAAACGTTTTTATAAATTCTAGAGGGTAATTATTGAATGTTAGTGTCTATTTAGTGTATGCGAAAAAATTATTAGATAACAGGTTTGATAACGAGTTGACATCAGCTATAGAAGCACTGGAAAATCAAGCAATACTGGACAGCTGTTTCGTCCTCGTTCGGGGCTCTTCAGCAACACGCATCTACTCGGGTTCGAAACTAACGCCTTGCGATTGTAAAGCGTGGTTGTAGGCCATTCAGCCGCTGATAGCCGATTCAATGGTTCATGAATTTCAGCTTCTGCCAATTTACGATATCCACATAGGCCAAACGCCAGCAGGTGTCATAGGTAAGTAACCGGCCTCTTACCAGACTTGATGCACCTGGTTTCCCAATGTTCCTTTAACTGGTGTCAACTCGTGATGAAACCTGTAACTAATCTTCTATCTGCAAGCCGACAGATGTAAATAATTAGGGTTTTTTGGAATAATAATCAAAGGTCTACCTCTACTGCTGTAACATTTTACGAAACCTGCCTCAACAGCTTTGTGATTTGTGTTCACTATGTCAAACTTCAAATAATACCACAGCATTGTATGCTTTCTGAGATAAACAAATGTTACACCACAGTAGTTTTTTTTAAAATTAACCATTACTGTAAGTGAAAAAAGTGTTCATTGTCCAATTTCCAGGTTAAAGCATTCCGATGGCATTGATAACACTAATTATTAGAAGTAAATGAGGAAATATTCAAATCGACCAACTAAGCCACTAAACTATTTCCATTTTTAATTTTGGAAAAAATATACGGTAAATAAAGACAAATTATTTGTTGGAACTGAGGTATTCAAGTATTGAAATTTTTATAATTAAATTTAACTGACTTTAGTATCGTTATTAATACATTGAACATTGAACAGGATGGTTGAGTTTCCAATGGATGCATCTTTTTTGTGTAAGTGGATACAGCGAATACGCAAATTTAGATTTTTTGAAAAAAGATTTGTTTAAATACATATGCGTGAAGAATTATTTATTATTAGAAAAAAAGGGAAGGGGAAAGATCATTCATCGCAGTAAAACAAATGAATTATACAGATGTTCAAACACCTGTTGTGTCTGATATGTATCCATAGAGAAAAATAGGTTTACACATTGGTAATTAACTGATTATCACGTGAATTGTAACTGGACTGCAGGATTTCGTACACACACATTATACAAGGCTAAACACAGGAACACAAAATGCTTAAGAACTTTTAATTCTAATCTCTTATATTCAAGAGAACTGAAAGATAGCGATCCTCTTGGAAGGTTATCGAAAATTCAGCATATAAATGGACAGTTAACGTTTCTGACTCTGACTTTGCTGTAATAAGTAGTAATTATGACAGGCAGCATGCATGAGAATGTGAAAACCAGTCACGATCAAGAAAGAAAATAAAGTTGCTGCTTACTTCGAAATCCCTGTGCAGATATTTAGTTCTCAGCACTAGGAATAAGATCCGAATTTTTAACAATAATATCAAGTGAATGCTTCTATATGATTCACAGACTTGGTTCACGCATCATGCAGAAAATTTTCAGCAACCTGTGGATATTCAATAACGGATATCCTTACTGGATGCTGAAAGTCAGATAGACGGTCGGAAAGAATAAGCAACTAAAAACTCTGGTGGGAAGTGAACTATCTGACAAATTCTTGCTTAACAAATTTGTAAGAGGTAATGGAAAAGAATCGGAGACCTTCAAGTGGAACATAAATGAGAAGTGACGGGTTGGGTGACATGGAGAAGCTCATGTGAGGACGAAATCAAAGCTTGTTGTCAGTTGTGGATGAAGCTGAAGGTAATAAACAGGCATAGTGGAAAGGAGATGTGCCGCTGTCCCCCAGTGTTCCACTTAGAACACAAGGAATGAATAATAATGATCTTGGAAAAAGTGAACTAATATGCTCGCCCAGAAGTCTGTCAGGTGGAGTTGTCGCACTTCTACATGCTGCACATTATAAAGAAGACAGCGGAATAAAAGGATAATATTACATTCTGTAAACGTAATAAGGATTAACAATAGTATTTCCTTTAGGCTTCATGTTGACTGTTCAGAGACTGGGATGAATTCAGTAGCTTATGAACTGAAATGTCTACCAATTCGCAATATGTAGCTCCAGGAGTGTGAGTTTTCCATTCAGTTCGCATTGTAACCTGAAGTTCCTGGGTGCGTACAACTTCAGAGTGTGTAACCAAAACGAAGCAACTTTATATTACTCCTTGGATTCGAATAGTTTTCGAAATGATGTCAGTTCGTGGTGGAACTTAAAGCAATCAAATATGTGCACAACAACAATTCGTAGTGACTACAACTTATTTGAGAATTGGACCGTTGATTGATTTCCACTCTCCCTTAGAAAACTGTCCAGAAGAGTAATCTGGGATCTTTTTATTCCCTTGTTTGAACTTGTCAGTTTCATTGTCCGATTACTTATATTGTTTCTCTAGAATTTTCTGGCACTGGGGAGAACAAGACTAATCAAGGCAGAGCCAGTATTCACTTGAATGCAGTACAAGAGACATTGACTAATTCGTAAACCTTACATGAATTCTTCGTTACCGGATATTTATCGGATTATCCCAAGGGTTTATACGTTCTCCCTGCGTTTCATCTTTGGCAGCTTCTTCAGTGATACATAAATCGCCATTAGTTCTCTGAAATCATTACTCCCCAAACTACTAATGTCCTTTTAAAGGTAGAATATATTACATTACTTTCTATTCTAGCTTACAGTATCTGCATAAATAACTCATTATTCATTCCTGAAGCATTCTTTTCTTGTCACAATGCTTTATTATCACCACGACATATGACAAAGAAAATGTATACTACAGTTTACACCAATGTTATTTAACTTAGATTAATGACCATTTTGTTTGCCTTCTAGAGAGATTTTCATTAGCTTTCCATCCTTTAGAGTTGACTGAATCCTATTAGTAGGGTTTAAAAACATCATAGGTACTGCCTAAAATCGTTGAAGGCTTTCCTAAATTCTAAATGCGCCGTGCCAATGACTGGCAATAAGCATCAAAACCTTAACTATATCCTCTTTTTATAAATTCCTCTAAAATGCTATTAGATGATGGTCACATAGCAATAGAAATACCATAAGAAATACTTTTAAATATGCGTTGGCGACAGGAACAACTTCTACAATCATTTATATTCAAACACACACAGACAGTAGTTAAATATCACTGAAATTACAATATATTTCACTTACAAAGTGTATACAGAACAAATTCACTTGGACTGTGTGCGTTCAGACCATGACGTAGTCTGATCGGATATATGTAGTTTGCTTATATAAGATAAATGTCATGGAGAAGTTGACAAAAAGCAACTGGTTTATGTTATTATTTTGTCGAATTTAGGGTTAAATATCATTTAGGAAAAATCACTCGAAAAACTTTTGATCCAGAAATTTTTGAAGTGTACATTTAAGAGAACACTTGAACTGTTTAAAGAAAGGAGTCTGGAGTCTTCAGTGTAGTTGTGGACTAAGGACTCCGTCGTTTAAACTTTGACAACCAACTGCTGAACAGACCTGAGTTTCTCATCAAACATAGATGGACTAGCTTTCTGTTCAGTAGTCGTGAGAAGTGAAAGAAGTCAGAGATTAGTTAATTAATTTACCTTCTCATACCATAACCAGCTAACTAGAAAATATGGTGGTCATATTAATTGCTATCTTATAACCTACAGTGTTTTCAAACATCTTAGAAGATTTCGTTTTGATTTACCCAACCATAAAAGTCTGAATGTATGGAGTTTGAAATTTGGGAATTTATGCACATTACTATTTTATTGTCGACTAACTTTTATTCACTATTTAAATACAGTGAAAACAACAAAGTGGGCCGGATAACATGATGTCATTATATTTTCTTGGATCTTACCAACTATACATAAACCAAAACAGTTACAATATCAGTATGCAAAATTTTCACAAACTTTATCAATTATCAGGAGTTAGTTTGTTAGGATTTGACTTGTTTTAGGTTTGATCATGGACTGATGTCAGCTACGGAACCTCTGAGAACCAACAGGGAGTACTGGACAGATATTTTTCCCCTGTGTTTCGGAATCTTCAGCAGTACTCACTCACCGAGGTTCGAGCCTGGGACCTTCCGGTTACAAGACAATTTCATTGACCATTCAGCCACTGGAACGCTATATAGCGGCTGGTGAATTCCGCCTTTACCAAATCTATGATTTTATCACTACTAGCAGATATTTTCATTAGAGGGTATTTGTCCTTATGCAGGACCTGATAGACCTCACTGGTCAAGACTTCTCTGCTGAAATCCACAGAACTTCCAGCTGAGGTGTCTCTAACTAGGACGAAGCAGCTGGCTACTACCCATTGATTTTCAGTGGTTCTGTAACTAGTGTCATCTAGTGGTCTAACTTGAACCCATTCAAATGGAAGTAAATGAACACCTGAAAATTATTTTCTACTATGACATGACTAGTATACTGTGGTTGTTTTCTTTTCACTGTACATTTAGGAAGAACTACGTATTGCCAAAGAAGTTGGTGTTCGCTTAAATAGTGAATTAGATTTATTGGACGAGAAACGTGTTTATTATGAAGAGGAGAATCGTCAGTTAAATGAAGAATTACAAACATCACAGAATAAAAGAATTGCTGTTGAAAATGAACTTGGACGACTTAAATTAGAGGTAAGTTACATCATTCGTATTTTGTTTAAAAACTTCATCTTTTGGATTGAAATTACTGAGTAGTATATTAGTAGAACGTCCCCTTACACTTCATTATTCTGTAGGCGCTACTCTACTGGTGGGAATTTGTAAGTTGTATAATGTGTGACGTACTCTCCAAATCTTCAGTTTGTTTTTGCCAGGAGGTTATTTTTCGATCCTCCTTTCAGGGAACTGTCGTACTCAGTAACTTTTTAGTCACCCTTGTTACAATTTTCATAAGTTGTCAGGCTTTCCTCAGTTGTAGTTTGTGAGATATGGTTCCCGAAATGCTCTCGATAAACCATGACGCCAAAAATCTTTACTGGGACTGTTTATCAAGTGTAGGTGCCTCAGTATCAGTGCAAAAATTAGTACGTCCCTCTCTTATACAAGCCCAGTGATCAGAAACTGCTGTCTATCAAACTCTACCACCAGCTGTCCAGCTGGCGACTTCTATTTCTTCTTCCCATTCGCATATATGATGCAATCGTTGACCACTTTTCCTTGGCATCTCACCAGTATCTCCACTACCATCAGGTTCACTGCTGGCTGCTGCATTATCTGCAGCTGCAAAAATGTCTCAATAACTCACAGAAAGCCTCAGATGTTTATCTCGCCTTTACAGAAGATGCAGCCCAGGAAGGCAGGGGAACCGACTGTAACGGTGAAGCATGCGTTTTCGCTACAAGATGTTTAATTTGGCGAAATTAAATCGAGTAATGGTAAATTATAATAAGCTTAAACTGAAACTCCAGTTTCCACAAAGTATTCAGGTTGTGCGCCTTTCTTTTCATTATATCCATCGCTCTACTACTTACAGATTTTTCAGATAAAGTAACACAATACACTACTTACAAATTGTTGTTAGTGCACAGTGCGATGTAATTACTGGAATGTTAGATACCATCCAGAAGAAATTACTGTTATTTAAACTGTTGTTTCACTTTCGATATATACATCTCACAGCTGCACACATTTTAGACTGACTTATTTAAGTATTACTGGGATTATTGTCAGTAACCATTAAAAAATATACATCAAAATATTATTATTCACTCTGTCGAATCATGAGTAGTTCTAAACCACTCATACTGGTATTTTCTGGTTGATAATGGATAACAGTGGGATGTGGAACACACATTTTCTTCCTTTTTGTGAATGATCAGCTGCATATACTGGCCTCCCCAAGAGACTCGAACTCAGGAAGCCAATGCCCAAAATGTCTAAAAGCACTGAACATTTCTGTTCAAAATAATCAATCAGTAGGAATTTTAAAACAATGATGATTTCCACAAATAATCACCGATTGTGTTTTGCTTTCCTTTTTATTTTTAACCAGTTCGACAAGTTGAAAAATGAAAAAGGTGCTTTCGACAAAGGACCATTACAAGTTACTGACAAAAATAGGGTAAGCCCAAGCTAATTTTTCTTCAGTTGATTTTTAACTTGTGTAAGTTTTGAAATAATCATCTTCTTTATTCTGCTGGTAGCAACAAGATTATAATATTGTACTGAATAAAAAATAAGCCATTGTAGTTTATTTCAATGTAGATTTCATCGCGAACCAACATCAAGTAGAGAATAATTGAAAGCCAAAGAGTTCTGGGAAGCTGTTCCGTCCTGGTTTGGGATTTTTTAGCAGTGCTTACCCACCACCCCACTAGAGATCGAACTGGGCACCATCAAGCTAAAAAGACAGCTCGTTGAACATTCATCCATTGAGTTCAAATTCAGTTACCCTTGTATTCTCACTTTTTTCAGTTAGTGAATTAGCATCGCAATCAAGTAATACCATCGATGAGAATTCACTTTACCCTGACGCAGTGCAACCCAGTTATTACATCTCATTAAAATTTGCAGATATACATTCAAAAGCCACTAATCAGGTGGAGGTTAATATTCAGACTACTGAATGTCTTGGGATTGGGATTAATTTCAATGTTCCAACAGAAAATCCCCGCTCGAATCTGAAGAGTTTTGCCTTTAATGATCGTCCCTGACACCAATACATTACATATCAATAATACTAATCGATATAAGAAAGGCTATTCTAACAAAATACACTGTAAGTAGTTCGATCACCTAGCTTTTTATCAAATGAATTCTTAGAAAGAATAACACTGAGGTTCCTTGATTGTGTTTTAAATAAAAAGTATATGTAAATGGTTATTTATAGTCTATAGTTTAAATGTCAAAAAAGGTGAAGGCTTTTTCTATGGAGAAGGTAATGAAAACCAGAAAAACAACATTTTTCGTTTTTTGGAACAAAAAGTATTTAACGACAACAAGTGAACTTCTTCTGCATGGTGTTCTCTCTCCCTGTCTTGCACAGAATACATTATCAGTCATGCAACTGCAAAAGTGGAATTTACTTGTAGGCACAACAAACATAAAATAATATATTTATTCTGCCTTATTATTGCTGTTATATTTTAAAATGACCTTATTATTAGTAATAATAGTAATAATAACAGTTACTAAATCTGGAAGCCAGTTAACAGTTTATTCTTCGTTATAAGTAAACTTTACTTAAATGCCTGGCAGCAAAAGACAGACAAAGTGATGTTACATAAATTCACTACTAAGAATGCTTATTTTCTAAGCTATATTACAGAAAAAAATTGAGATCAAGTTAGTAGGGGAAATATCCCAAAGTGATCTTATACCAGACTACACAGTTATCATAAGCTATTTAGCTACTAATTTCTACATTTAGTGGAATGCACCAGATTCACTTTAATGATTAGTGCATTAATTATTCAAAAATGTCCTAATGAGTTGTTTCAAATACTTCTTGACCTATCGATCAGTAATTTCGTGAATTTATTTGAGAGTAAAGAATAGCTAGAAATTGCCTAGTGCTTTAGGTCAAACACAATTATTAATCTTTACCCCTTGGGTTCTGATGGATTTATGGGGCTTCAGCCGAACATCTCAATTGAATTCGATTCTTTGCCATCATTTTTAACTGGATCCACGACTGTTCAAAAGCTCTCATTTTCTCCTTATATGATCTCCTCCATGTGACTTTCACTTCCCATTTTGGTTCTACTCGACAGTGTGGTGTGCGACGTCACCTGTATGTCTCTTCAGTGTATTGTGTCCAATCCGTTTCGATTTTACTTGTGCATATTTGTTAGACAGTGGTTTGCTGGGTGGTTCACTGCCTGCCTTCCGGCTTTCTCATCTTTGCTATCGAGCAAAGGAGGCAGATATAGATGAAAGTCTTCAGCTTGATGGAAATGCTTTTCGTATCCCATGCGCTAAGTCTCTGAATCATTTGGAAACATTGGCTTGATATTAATATTCAAAGCTCATGTCTTACTGCTTGTGGATCTCCACATCTATTTCAGAGTAATGCGCTTTCAGGTAGAAAACTATCTATGAGAATGAAACTCAGAAATTTTGTAGAATATCTAGGGATTTTATAGTGAATTAAGCTATGAAATCCGTATAATGTATACAGAACGCCTTCTCAGAAAAAGTCTATTATTGTTATTATTCTTGAAGTATCCTATGAATAGTGTAACTGAGAAATGAGCACATTACCTTCATAGTGACCAAAGTTATCTAATGAACAGAGGTGAACAATTAAAACAGTAAAAATGTCATTCAGAGACGTTTAATGAATTTAAAGGAAAGAAATAACTTGAAGCACAAATTGCTGATAAACAAGTCAATTCAACAGAAATTAGTTAGTATGCCATACAGACTAACACAAAGAAAGCTGAGAACAATAGCAAATTCAATCCGTTATAAGAATTTAGAAACTTTTGAGACAAATATTCACTCTGAAAACATTTTATAAAGCGTAAACCAGTAACATAAAATAAAAATTATCACTATAACAAAGTATGTCAGGTTTGAAGAGAAAGACATCATTCCAAGTAAACGCACTTCTCACCTCTAAAACTCAAGGGAGAAATGATTTCAACATTTACTGAGAAACATGAGAATAACTAAAGCTACTAATTTAAGTGAAAGATGCTCAAACGCCTTAGAGATGAAATATTGAGAATCATAGCAGGAAAGGTTTGAAATTTGACAAGGTTAAAACTTTCATTAAATAAGAAGTAAGGTAATCTAGTGTCCGCTTGTCAAGTGTGAAGAGGGTAAGAGAATGTCTAAAAGGAACATGTAAGAGTGATACTGAATTAATTACTAAAAATAAAAGCGAATAATTAGGGGAGAGATTAAGACCATGGTAGAATAAGAGAGTGAATAGACTTTCTCTGTACATAGAGTTCAGCGCCTAGCTAGTGACTACGCCATACGTAAATGCCAAAACCTAACACCCCTTGTAACATTTGATCTCACTTTGTAGATTATCTTAAGGTACAACTCTGATGCAACTATGTGGCCTGAGTTCACTAGGTGGTCCACATTTACTAATACTCAGTAATAGACTACTGTAAGTTTCCGGAAGATATAAATGCGATTGTACAACTTCTGGTGATGACTTCTTGGATGAAAATATTTCTTTCTCGGAATCACTCATTCATGACTCAGTGGATATGCATTCGGTGAAGAACTGTTAAAACAGTCAAAAGATGAAATGTCATGAAAGTCAGACAAAGAATAAGAATTTGGTTGTTGATAATAATGATAATAATAATAACAATGTAGGTATTAATGGAACCTCTTAGAACAACTATTGCTCGTCATGGTAATTATAACGCAGGAATATATCACTAATAGAAACTTATGGGAGCTTACTTCTTTGAAGTTAACACTGAATGTTGTGTTGTGAATGATACCGGAAACCGTGAGACCAGATCATCACTTCAGCTAGCATTCAAGGTATCCATTTAGATTTTAAACTGATTCTTTACTGTAAGTACATACAAAGAAACAAACTTCCTGTGAATCGCCAAGCAGATTAAATGTATGTCAACTTCCAGGAAACCCAAGAATGGGATGAAATAACCCTTTAACGTTAGGTGTTTTTAATATTTCTACGTCTGGTATCAGTTCAATACCATCCTTTTATCTGAAATCACCACTATTATGACTTTGTATCACCTAAGAGTATGCTTATCTGCGCCCTCCAGTAGAAGGAAATCAAAGCTATCTAAATGTTTGTTCTGTATCCCTATTCATATGAAATGTAAGATGGAATAGTAATTATAATAACAACAACTTTTTTCTTCAAAAGAAGTTTTTGTATTCAGAATTTTCAGCGTGTTTTGATGCATAGCATTTACTCCTTGTGCAGAGTCTTCAAGTAATGCAGGTAATGGATATCATGTAATATGAAGCAATACTATTCTCTCTGGAGCTTGATCCGGTACACCTTGATGATCCCCCACAAAACTTTTCAAAATATTCATAGTGGTAGGATTAAAACCTATTTCCAAATTGTTTTGGGCATACATAGGTATTCATGGATGTATTTGGAAGATTAAAATAGTAGCGAAGTGGAACTAATACGATGCATTTTGATGGATGAAAAAACTTAGTAGCTTAGCGACTTAAGCAAGCCGCCATATTTTTCAATGAATGTATTGTTGTTTCGAAACACGAGAAGCCATTTTGACGTATTGATCAAGGAGTAGGTCTGTAAGGCAGAATAACAGATATAGTCTCATAAAATCAAAGATACGTAATGACAAGTTCTACTGAATTACCCACAAATAATACCTTGTGGAAAAAGTAGTTGCTCATCAGGATTCTTCATTTCAGTGAATAATGGCCACTGTGTACAACGACTGGTATTAAATTTCTGAGTCTCACTTAGAATACCGATATTGATTTGGATGCAGACACGTTCCATGATAAGTCCTGAACAGAACGAAGCATGTGTGCTTTATTCCTCCACTAACCAGCATTAAATGCACTACCATTTCAAGAACTACAAGACTACGATGATTTACGATAAGAAATCAATTCACTCGGATAGGTTTCTTTACGATTTCAAAACCATGCATTCGCAGAATATTTGCTTTGCCATAGGCCAGGAGTCTCCATCAGTATGTCTACTTTCAAAATCATGTAACATTTTTTAAAATGTTAGAAAAAAGAAATCTTCATTAGTGTTTTCAATAAACTCAAGTTTTTCTTTTCGTCTTCTTTTAGTCTAGACAAGGTGTGTCATTATCACGAGAAGCCTCATTTGAAGACCATCAGATAGTGCGAGATTTAGAAGCTGCTAGAGAAAGAGAAACCGACTTATCAGAACAACTGAGATTTGCTGAAGAAGAAATACGTAAAGTTAAACGACGACTAAAAGAATCTCAAGCTGAAAATGATATACTATCTAGAAAAATAGGAAAAGTGTTTTCACTTCAGGTAGTTTATTTTGTTTAATTAAAAATATTTTGCTAAAATTTCGCTTCATTTGTCATTGGGTCGCTGAAATTCTATTTAAGTAGATTAACAGTTCAGTAGATCTGCTTATAATCAGAAGCCGGATAATGATGAGCGTAGCAAAGGGGTTAGAAGGTTCCAGAACCATTCCCAGTTAAGGAGCAAATTAGAACGAATAACAGGAAGCAAATTAGACAGTACAGATCGGGATTAGAGATATATTCATAACAAAACAGGAATTTAAGATAAGTTTGGATAATAACTGTTAGGCGAATTGACTGTTGATGACGACTATGGTAAATACTAAGGTTGGAAGCACTTCTTTTGGATACGTGGCGTTGGTTTCAACTTTTGGATCTCAGATACTTGATTTAATACTTGATTTAACTTCCTTCGAAAGGTATGACTGAATCTTGTATAGGACTTTGAAGAACTTTTGAAACGAGCTTCAGTGTCTTGAGTCCACTGAAAATTCTGCTGCTGAGCTGTAAACCCAACTACATTCTTTGTTTGCTAGTCAGGTTCGATATTGTTGGTGAGGAATTATTCAGCCAACACGTGAAACACAGACTGTTTCATTGGGATACTCCAACATGCACATATCAGTTCACGTACTCCTGTGGAGCTGAGTACATTGGCCGCACCATGCATCCGCTTGGAAAATGCTCTCTGGAACATTGTCCATTTTGTTGTTCGTAAAAACGTATTTTACTGATTATTTCAAAAGTGTAATGAAATAAACATCCTAACGTTCTTTGGTCATTGTTAGAAGGCTGCTTTGGTAGCCTTTAAAAGGTCTTTACAGGATTACTTTCCTTTTATTGTCAGTTCGATACGATAATTTAATTTATGACCAAGTATGTTCTTTTATACTGCCAGACACGTAACAATAGAACAGCTGGACAGACAGCTGGTGAAGGTACTGAAGATCAACAACTTATACCGCCGACAACACCATACAGTACAGCTATCAGTTCAGAACAGAAAAAATCTTTGTTTTCTGGAATAAGTAGTCGACTTCGAGGATATGTGAACACTGAAAGTGAAGCAAGTATTGCGGCTACTAGTCGGACACCACAAAATGCTGTAAATACAGACACAAGTAAGTCATTAGTTAAAAGAAATATTTCAAGCCTAATTTAATGTTGGTTTTGTAAAAACTTGGATTTTTTATTCAAATACTGAACATCACGATTTCGACAAATATTTTGGTTAACTGACTTCTTTTTTTTTTAAAGTCCTATCTGCAAGTTGCATTCTATAAGTGTTTTAAAGCCAATAACTTGTTAACAATCTTCAGAAAAATCTGAACGAGAAAGTCGACAGATTTGTGACTTGATTTAGTTTTACAGGGGATGTTAACCCGCCTCACCAGGGATGCTAGTATTTGTAACTCCTGGTAGTTCTTAGTATTAACATGGAGTCAGTGGAGTGAGCTTCCTCACTTAATGACCCTTAACATCTTACTTTTTCAGTGATTTCATTTGTCGAGTATTGGGCTTCCCCATTTCACATGTTTCATTAAATAATAAAACTTCAAATAATATGCAGTCTCCACAAGTGGCATGCTCCCATCTAAGAAATCTGAATGACATGTCCATTCACTTGAATCTGTTGACTGGAGCCTTAACCAGTTTGAGTGAGAATGAAACTAAACATCCAACAGTTTCCTAGTTTCTTTCTAAGCATCCAAATTACTGAGATAAAAAGTCTAACTACTGTTCTTACCTTACTGACGGGATGAATGTCTGTAAACCGAAATCTTCGGGATAGATGTGTTGAGTAACTTTGCCCCTACGACTGGACTAAACTTTCAAGGAGACTCACTAACGTCACAGATGGACAAATATACTGGTAATTGGAATGAAACCGACGTCCAGTAGGAAGTTGTATTTAGAAAATTAGCCGTTATATGGTGCAAAACCACTGACGTGAAGGTAACAAGTTTGAGCTTTTTCCACCTGGCATCTCTTTCTAAGTTATAGTTTTGAATGGTTATTAAATGGAGGAAAGTATACTAACATTATCACTTTTCAGTAGTATAAAAAAGGTTTAATAAAGAGCCTTTTTGAAATATGTAAAGTACTCAATCCTCTATCTCCCTAATTAAGTGCAATAATATGGCGAGTAACAATGAGGTTAGGCTTACAGCGGTTAAGGAAGAAGGGCGAATTCATCGATGAGGCTGTGAAGTTTTATGTACTGAGTTGACTAGGACTAGTGTTAGGCATAGCTAACCATCTCCTTCCTCATCGATCAATGTTAGATGACAGGATTATGTTGGCCTTACGAAACACTAAATTCAGTCCGTCAAGTCTCTGATTGTTGATTTGAGGCACGTAGGGGTCATCGAAACGCTGGAGATTACTGTTATTATGGTTCAAAATCGTCGTCAGTTACACATCTATTTAATCTCAGCAATCTCCCATACTCATTAAACTTTCAGGTTTTTCCATGTTACTATTCTTTCTCTCTCAAACTTCTACTCAATATATTCCTTATGAATCTGTCTTTTATTTACCTTTGTGTACTACATGGCATGTGATAATTTGAACTGATGCACTTCTATGCAAAGCTCCGTGTTGTAACTCATGTAGTCATTGAAAGTACTGAATTAAAATGGAACGAATTAAGCTCGTTTTATGCTTAATTCATCTTAAAAGGTAAACCTTTAGCAGTGATTCAAAATAAAATACCAAAATAATTTGGTCACTCAGTACACACTAACCACGACCTAGGCTATACATCAAATTTATTCAGATTTGACCTCTAAGTGCTTATATTGGAAGTTCAACTCTTCACTAGGCACGTTCATGGCAGCATTAATCGTTTTGAATCAAAAAAGAGAATAATCTCTCATTTAAATTCAGAAAAATATTATGAAATAAACTGAAGATTCTTTCAGAAGTAGAGTAATTGGAACAAACAACTGTGTTTTCAATAGCTTCTTCATTAGGTCCTACAGTTATAAATCCATGAATTTTAGAGTAAAATTGTCAGTGAAAGTAAATCAAATTACATCAGAAACCCCATTGGATTACAAATACGAGATGGAATAACAGTTCACTAGTTTTCGATTATCGTTTAAATACGTATAAAATATACAGTCATTAAGGACAAATGATGAAATGTGAATAACTAAAGAGTAAGAAGAAGAGGTTGTTGAAGATAGTTGTCCGCTAAAATTATTATTATAATGAATATACTAAGGAGACATTTAAATTACTGGAGATTCTTTATTACCTCTTTATCTGGCGCACACTATCCTGGTTACTTAATGAGATATTCATTTAAGTAAACACTTTATGCATTTTCTTTATGTCATTATAAAGAAATAATATCCTACATGGATATTTCACACAGTTAATCAGTATAGCTTACTGAATGACGTTTAGAATATAATTTGTAATCGTAACAGTTGTAGCTGCACATCTACGAAACTTGATTTTCATAGTTCTCTTCCCTACATCCCATTCTTTGTAGAGGTAGTGGAAGTTTCCAGATGTTGTTGTATCATGTCTAATCCACGTTTTCTCAGTTGTTTCGATAAATAAATCTTCAGTTATCAATCTTTCCCTCTATCCTGTTATGTTAGATTTTTAGACTGCTATCTTGTCCCATTGTACTGAATGGTTGTGTGTAGCTGAATGTACTGCCAAAACTAGGCTACTTTCTAGACTTAATGTCTTATTAGGGTCAACTAGTCTAGATTTTGGTAGGTTTTGTGCTCCGTTAACTTAACTTGACTGGTATACTACACTTTGGCCTATGTATTTGACCTGACGATCACTGCATCGTATTGGACAAACAAAATTATTTTATTTAATGGGCTCCACAGGATCCTTCTTCCGACATAAAATTGAGTTTTTGAGTCTGAATACCGCTTTTATTCCAGCTTTGTTATGTTCCTTTTTTGCATGGAAGCACTAGTAATGATTTAAATTCCTTACTGTTGTGATTTATCTGTGTATGTTTGTCATGTATGTCGTCATCATTATTATTATCATTAACTCTAGTTTTACAATTTCCCACATATTTCCTCATTAATTTATCGAGACATTTATTAAATGTCAAAGCCTCTCTTACGTCTTACTTTCTGCCTTAGATTTTCTTTGGGACTAGTGTTTTCGCAAAATTACTTAAGCATTTCACTAGTCTTATTTTATTTTTTCCTTCAGAAAGTCAAAATATTTAGATCACAGTGCGTAATATGTTCAACAGCATAGGTAACATCGAGAAACCAGGCGAAATTGCAAGATGGTGTTCAGATAGCCTGCTTTCAATTGGCGAAAATACCTGGTTGACGTGAGTGCTAAAACCTAGTGAACTTCCACCTCAAACTGATTTTTAATCGATATATATTTGTATCGACACAATGATCATAGCTTGTCCCTACTTTGAACACATTCCTAAAAAACTAATAAACCATTTGAGACAAGAGATGTCCTTTTTAAATATAAACCTCTGTTATGTTAATTTCGATTTATTTCCCTGAAGACGTTCGGACCAGTTTGCCAATCGAAACGTTGGAATTACGCATTTTAATTTCGCTGAGATTTTACAGATAAAACTTAAAAAAGCTAATAATCTTTACATTTTTCACTATATTATCCTAAATCTCTATAATTATCATTTGATATTATTATTATTCCTTTGGGTTCCAAGTGGAACATAGGGATTCAGCATTGCATCTCTATTTCGTTATGTTCTCTGCTGTCCCTTTCAACTGATCCTACTATTGACCATAAGCTTTCCTTTCCTTTTCGCCCAATCTTCTCCATGTCACCATAGAATGCCTAACTCATCGTTTCCCATTCGGGTTTTCGCCCAAGGGCTAGTGAGTGGTGCCGTTCATTTCCCAAACATAAAATGTTAATTTCATTTTAGTGGTCGACCACATTGGAAGGATCCTTGCTGAATTTCTCAGAAACATAGTGAAACTAGAGATCAATCATTCTTTCTCTCTTCAAACTAATAAAGGGAACCGGTTGCATGAAATCAATCATTTAATTTATGTCTTGCTTTTAAAGACAGTCATCAAGAAGTCTTGGACCTAGGTTACAGCTCTTGTCTGTATCTACCAGAATGGTGTGTTTGCAACCTCGAAAAAAACTTATGTTCCTTCCGAGATTTCAGTTGGCATCATCCACTGCTGTAGTCAGAGATGTTATCATTGAGCTATTAAGACTCATGATGGACTTCCTGTAGGACCTCAATGGATACAGTGACTGATCTCTAGATTCTAGCCAGTGTTGTGTGTCTAGTCCTTGGTGTTGGTGTTGCCTAAATTCTTTCAGTAAATTATGCAAAGCGGTCAACAAACTAGGTGACTCTCAGTGCATTCTGTATTGATGTTAATTAGTTGGCAGCTGTGAACTAGACACACGACGTTGACTGATGCCTATTTATTATTATTGTTCCTTTGGGCTCCGAGTGAAACATATGGCTTCAACAACACATTTCCGCTTTGTTCTGTTTTATGCAATCCTCTTCAGCTGGTTCCACGATTGCCCAAAATCTCTCATCTCTTCCTCACATGATCTCCTCCATGTCACATTTGACGTGACCACCCACTCATCACTTTCCATTTCTGTTACACTTGAGGGCCTGGCGCGCGATACCATTTGAAGACCTCCTCAACGTATGCCCGATCCATCTCCATTTTCTCCTACAAATTTGTTGAGCAATCGGCTCTTTATTGGTTTGTTTCCATAGTTTCTTGTTGCTGATTCTTTCTGGTCGGCCTTTTGATCTTCACTATGGAGCCAGTGAAGGCAGCTGTTGATGAAAGTCTGCAATCTGTTGGAAATCCTCTTCGTTACACGCCAAGAAGGACCGATTTGAAATTGGTGTTGAAAATCTAAATCTTGTTCCTTATGCTAAGTTTAGGTTGATGAAGGTGTATCTTGCGTTTCCGATTCTGACTGGCTTTGACATCTTCATCCGTTCGTCTGTAGTTGAAATGATCCTTCTTAGAAAAGTGAAGGAGCTAACCCGTTGATAGTGATTGATGCTGATGGTTGTTTTTGCTGTTGTTGGTTGGTTATCTTCATCAACTCCGTCTTCTCTATGTTCACCTAGATTCCTGTCTTCGCTGCCTCTTCAGCCAGTTTGCTGGTTTTCGCCTGTAATTCTTTGGGTTTTTGACATTAGAAATATATCATATGTGATCTAGAGTTCTAGAGTTTTCTTATTGGTAGTCCAGCGTATTCCTGTATTCTGAACCCTTGTGCACAATCTGATGCATAATCCAGTCCACCGCAATAAGGAATATCATCGGTAATAATAGGCAGACAGCGTTGTCTTACTCCCGCATTCACTCTAAACGCCTCGTTGAGTTTCCTGTTGTGGATCACCTGGCATGTGCCATTGTCAAATAGCCAACTTTTGAATAAGATTTTGGGCGTGCCACAGAGTTGAATTAGTTTCCAAATTTCTTAGCAGTCGATGCTGTCTTTCGAAGGGTTTTTAGAAGTCGATGAAGGAAATTGAGGTAGAAGTTTGAATTCCATTCTATGCTTTGTTCTGTGATGACGATGCGTAGAGCTGCAATTTGATTGGCACATGATTTTTTTCCCTTCACGTTCCCCAGTGGAACATAGGGCTTCAAGCTAGTGGCTTGAAGTTTCTGTAGCAGTGTTTGTTTTACAGGATGGGGTTGCTAGCCTCATGCCTAACCTTTCCTCTTCACCAGCATTATTTCTGGCTCAGCGAGGTAAAGGAGTGCGTCGGCCGGGGATCAAACCCCAGACCATGTGCATGGTTGGCGAGCGTCCTAACCGCTATACCACCGACGCACTGGTTGAGTTCTGTATCCAGAGCATCTTTTACTCTTCTCAGGACAAGAGCATAATGCCAAGCCAGTTCTTGCACAGGCCTAAGTCGCCCTTCTTTGACAGCCTGACAATATAGCCTTTCCTTCAAACGGCAGGTAACTTTCCTCCTTTCCAAATATTTTGTATTAATAGCATGAGCACATCTGCAGGAGCCTCTGGGTCCGTTTTTAGTGTTTCGGGGAAAATTCCGTCTGGGCCTGCCGCCTTTCCGAACTTCGGTAGCTTCATCACACTTAGTATCTCAGCTTTCGTTGGAGGACTGGTGTCCACTAGCAGTTCCGTGCGTGTTTTTGTTGATATTTCTGGGCAAGTTGCAGGTGGTGGTCGATTCAAGAGTCCTTTAAAGTGATCAGGCAACTGTTTTATTTGTTTCTCCCCCTTGTTGATCATTGCCCAGATAGAGACCAGTTTATCTAATATAGTGTCCTGATGTCTCCTTTGCCTGCGCCATGCCTGTTCTGCTTCATCTGCCAGTGTTTCGTAGAATTGTCGTTTGTCTTTCCTAGCACTCGTCTTCACTTCTTTATTCAGTACGGTGTACATTGAGCTCAGCTTCTCCTTCTGTTGCTCATCTTTGCAATGAGTCATCTCCTTCACCATCCTCCTCTTTAATCTGCTATTAGCTTTCTAGGTGTCCGTTGGGAGCCATTTCTTGTCTTATCTCTTCTTTCTTCCTAGAAGAGTGGTACACGTTTCCTTGAATATTGCCTTCAGAGAGTTCCTGTGTTCTTCCACACAGGTGTCCTCACTAATGCCACGTAGTGTCTCCGACTTTGCTCTGATCTGATCTGTAGTGAAGGTGTCCCTTGTAGTTTTGTCCCTCAGTTTCTGAATGTTGAACTTGAATTTCGGCCTGTCTACATTTGTTTTGAGTGATTTAAGCTTCACTTTGCAGGTTCCTTGAACTAGATAATGGTTTAAGCCAACATCTCCTCTTCTTGACTTTGTATCCAGCAGGCTGCGTCTTCACTCCCTTGAATAACATTGAGATGAAATCTGTCTAGTTTGTGGTATGTCCGTCAGGTGAAATCCATGTTGCTTTGTGTATATCCTTGTGTTTGTACACGCTGTCTCCTATCACCAGATCATTGAAAGAGCAGAAATCTGCGAATAATTCTCTGTTCTCATTCATTTCTCCAAGCCAGAGCTTCTCGACCCATGATGAGTTCTCTTCCTGCATTATCGGCTCCCAGTTTGGCATTCATATCGTCCATGAGGATTCTAATTTCAATATTTGGGATGCTGTCCATTGCTGTTTGTACTTGTCTGTAAAAGTCTTCCTTCTTCTCTTGTTCCGCGATGTTTGGAGGTGCATAGCATTGGATAACTGTGACTTTCCTTCCTTCATTTGGAGTTGAATCTTGCTGTCATGACCCTGGATGAAATTGGTTCCCATCGCATTAGGGTTCTGGCTACCAATGGTGACATCATTATAGGCACTCCCTCAGTGAGTTCAAGGTTGTCGCCTCGATAGCCGGAGTGGATTACCGACTCTCCAGTCGTAAATTTGGATAATCTCAATCTGTTTCACCTGCTTTCGTAGATACTCAGCACTTCTATGCTATATCTTCGCATCTCTGGCTACCCCAGCAGCCTTCACAGCCTCCTACATTGTACAGACATTCTACGTTCCCATTCTTATTCTTGCTTTCATCGAGAGAAGACACATAAGCTGGCTGACTGGCTTCCCAAAGACTTTCATCAGCCCGTGTCATTTCGCCTGTCCAATTCGAGCGATGAACAAGATTGTTATTTCAAGCTTTTGTGTTTTTAATATACTTTCTGTGGGTTGAAGTTTCTCTAGCTGTCTGAAAGGTTTAGTGGTGTGGGGTTGCTAGTCCCATGCCGAACCCTCCCTCTTTACCCGGGTTTGAGACCGGCTAGAAAACTAGCAAGCTAGTTACCTAGGCAAGGTTGGCCACTTCCTAGGGATTCGGCAATTAAATCAGTTAACTGCTGAACCTTTCAGGAGGGAAGCTGAAATTTAGTGGGAACTCGGCTTTCTAGCTGTGAATACTACTGAAATAACTGCTGAGTTTAAATATATTTGTATTAAAAGTTACACAGTGTTTTGCAGTTTCTTGTATATCTAGCGTGTTTATTTATTATAGTTTACCCTAATATATATAAACTGTCTTTTTAGATAATCTCCTAAACAAAGAAAAGCTGGCTACAGAAAGTGGACAGTTGAACTTGCACACTGTTAGAGAGTCAGAAGATTCACAATCGATAAATGAATATAAACAAAAGTTGGAAATATCACTTAAAGATAATGAAGTATTGAAAAGCAAATTACGTGAATCTGAAAAACACTTAAAACAAATTGTTCGTGATGTACGTTTACTGAGTAGTTTTGAAAAAGTTGATGGTTGGTTTGAAAAGTATAATGATGTTCGTGAAACTATGAAAGATCAAGAGAATGAAGTAAGTTACCTGTCTATTCTAAAAATATGTTCGCCTTTCCTATTATTACTTCAGTAATTTCTATTTCCTAGTGAATAAAAGAGAGAAGCCAGAAATAAAAAATACTTTTTGTAACTCCGCTTCAAGCCTCTACCGTTATATTATGTAGATCAGAAGATCAGATTGTTCCTATTACTTGGTCACAAAATATATGAATTTACATATCAAACGAAATAGTAAATTACGTAATCTAGTGACAGATATTCGTACAGTATGCTTTAAAGTTAAGAGTTAAGAAAGGGAGAAATCAAACGAAGAGAATAAAAAGATGAACGAACATGGATTACATGGCAAACTGACATACAAGTTAAGGGAAGAAAGTAAAGTTTAAAGGTCACAGAAGTAAGGGGATTGGACAAACTGCTTCTGGATACACAATTCAGGGTTTTCCTCGTATAGACGGAAGATGTAACCTGGAACCCTTAGAAGGAATTGATCTTACCTCATTTGCCACTTTGTAAGAATAATCTGTTGATGCAGATTGATTTGCAAGAACAAAGTGTTCAAGAATTGAGTTTCCATAACCATATCCAGATAATATATTACCAGTAAGGCTTACATACTTAACTCCACAGGAGCGAGTGAGCTGGTATATGCACATGGATGTTGCCAGCAGTGTAACATTGTATCTGACGTTTTAATGAATAAGAGGTTGCTTGGACAATGTGAAATACAGAAATGCAGCGATGAATGCTTTTCCAGCCACTGTCAATATTCTGCTTTGAAGAATTTCAGCTGCTGTTTTGACTTTGGATTTTAAGCTTACAGCTTACTCGCTCTTTGGTGCTTCTCTTTTCTGTAGTCTATCATTACTACTTTCATATGTCTATTGGTGAATGCTGGTGGATAACTATTCTGAATCAGTGTTACGGAAAAACTTTAGTGCCTTCATTGCATAAGTGACTCATTTTTGTGAGAAGAGATTTGATAAGAATTATATTCTTCTTACCCAAAAACAGAAGCTATACATTTTTGGTAAATACAAATACGACTGTAGAGCCTCTGAAGATGATTTCGTCGATAAAGAAAATTTTCTTCGCTGAATTTGTCTTTTATTTTCTTCATGACTCAATGGGTATTTTCGGTGATTTGAAGCAGAGCAAGAACCTTGTGACAGTGAAAGAACTTGATAAGTTTCTTTAGTTTTCTGTCAACCTCGCCACAGCGAACACAAGAATCAGTTTATAAAGAGCTGTACTGATAAGAAAGAATATCCCAAGCCCTACTGGAAATGTCTTCGTCGCAATCATATCCACCCAAATCATCGCTCTTTAAAACGCCATCCATTGAATGTGATCAATAAAATAAAATTTCGACCACCAGAGATGGAAAGAAACATTTCACTAAGAACACATGCTCTATTTGAACTGACGGAAGACGAGCAGAGAAATTTTATAGACTACATTGATTCAGGTTCAAGAAGACATTGTGAAGATGTAAACCTACAACTCACAAATAGTTTCAAAACTGCTGACACTTATTCACATTTTCCTGCCACGCCAGAGAAATACGTTTTCAATTACTCTGCTATATTATTAACTTCTATCGATTTGCAAGCTTTGTCGTCGGCTCCAAAATTCTGTGATATTTCGATGAATTCAAGCGGCTTGGATATAAGAGTTCACTTTGAAGCATTGACCCACCAGACAAATAGCCTTTTCCTAGTGTCCAATAAATCATATGAACAATTCAAGTCTACAGTATTGAATACCTGCCATCAGTATATCAGTATAAAACCAAATGTCAAAAGATTGATTTCAGCCGATCACAGAAAGCAACTACGTAAGATTTTAAGGAATGAAGATTTGGTTCTGACCCGCCCCGATAAAGGTGCTGACATTGTCCTGATGAATCGCCAAGACTACGTCCATAAAATGTTATCCGTCATGTCAGATGAAAAGAAATTTTCAAAATAAAGTAACCAGAAAGACCAAGCGGAACAAATTGGAGGAAAGACAACACAAATGCTGAAGAAGATGAAGAACGAATCGATTATCAGGTCTGAATTATTTGAGCAAATACGCCCCTCAGTTCCCGCAATTCCCTGTTTATATGGTCTGCCGAAAGTGCTCAAAGAGAAGGTATCACTACGTCCAATCTTGGATATGAAAAATTCCCCATATCACGCTACTTCCAAACGGCTCGCAGACATCCTCCTACCTATCAAAAATAATCTCTGACAGCATAGTGTTTCAGATTCATTTGCATTCATCGATTCAATAAGTGATGCTAATGTGTCCGGTAAGAAAATGATATCCGTGGATGTTACGACTTTTTTCACCAATGTTCCCCTCATTGAAACTATTTGCTTTATATGCAAATTCATTGAGAACACAATATTCAGCGAAGAGACTCTTTTCAACGAATTTATTATCAAGCCGTACAATCGTAGATATATGGTTTTTTTATAAAAATTATATCCGGTGAGGGAATTAGGTCAAAAGTGTGAATACATGAAATAATAATAGTATAAATGCAATTAAAATATTTGTGATTATAATCATAGTTTAATGTCAAGTGGTAAAATAATTAATGTCGTATATAGAATAATACATAAGGTGTATAGAATTTTGGAAAGGGGTATATAATTATAAGATTAGTAGATGAATATAAAATGTTACATAACATGGTGGGAAATTTGATAAGATAGGATTCAATATTGTAAAAATCAAAATATGAAAATCAATAATTTTGGGTTTAAAATGTCAAGTGGGTCAAGTGAAAAAGATTCAGAGTGAGAATAGTAATAATAATAATCGTAGTAATAAAGGAAAAGTACATAGAATAACTAAATAAACAAAATAAATAAATGTCCATCCCTCTACGGCCAAGGCAGAAGTAGGGATTGTACATACTTCTTTTGTACACAAAGGTCTGGCTTAAAGTCATGAATTGTCAAGGCCTCAGCTGTCTTTAGAAGTCTACAACGAAGAAAACGCGGGAAGTTAGCATGGATTCTATATATGATCTTAAAATCATGGTCAGGGTTGACAAAGTGACAGAAGTCGATCAGGTGTTCCAAAATAGAGCTTCGCACAAACTTCCTTTCTCCCTTGTAAAACCATGCTGGAATATGTTCTCGTATCCGTGTGGAAAGCGTCCTCTGACTACGGCCAATGTACCTTGCTCCACAAGAGCAGGTGAACTGATAGATGCACATGGAGGCGGCCAGATGGGGGAGCTTATCTTTTACAGAGGTAGAGAACAACTTGCGTCTAGTGAACGTCATATGTAATTTTGCTGCATAGAACGTCTTACTGACTGATTTAGAGAGACGATTTTTGAGCATATCTGAGGCTTGATCACCTTTGAATTCCAAGTTCATGAATAAGGTTTTCTTTGGAACTGGATATAATTTTTATAAAAAAAACCATATATATACGATTGTACAGCTTGATAATAAATTCGTTGAAAAGAGTCTCTTCGCTGAATATTGTGTTCTTAATGCTACAATGGGAATTATTAAATTCATTAAGGACAATAATGTAGACGTGTGTGCTCCGTTCCACAACTTAGAGGAACTACTATTGAGATGAAATTTAAATGGCAAATTCAAGCTCAGTAACACGCTTTGTAGACAAAAAGATCGAGTAGCAATGGGATTACCATTGGGTCCTCTACTTGCAGACTACTTCTTGGCAAGTTTGGAGAATAGTATGTTACGACCTACTATCGATAGTTTCCATTTGTACCAAAGATACATGGATTATACTTTCATCATATGTGACGAGAAGACCGACATCAAAATGATAACTAAGGAGTTCAACAGCTCCCATCATGCCATCCACTTCACGTCAGAATCAGAGGTGAACTCGGGATTCCATTTTTTTGATGCTTTTCTAAAAAGGCAATCTGATAGTTCTCTTCAAAGATTGATCTACTGGAAACCAACATGCGATCGTCAATACACTAATTTTCATAGTTGAGTCCCTTTGAGAAGAAAGGGAAACCCGATCCACTCCTTAACCTCAAGAATAAGAAGGATATGTTCCAGTGATACAATCGACAGGGAACTGGAGTGACTCAGACGAGTCCTCATAGAAATTGGATATCCTCTAAGATTCATCGAGAAAAAGCATGAAGTTAAAGCAAAAGCCTGAAAGAACCCAGACGGCGCCAAGGAAATTGCTATTTATTAACGTTGAATTTAAAGGTGATACCGCAGCTGAGATCCTGAAGAATCGCCTATTCAGATCACTCAGGAAAGTCTTCTTTGCAGCTGAGTTACGGATCAATTTCTACAGCCAGCAAATGACCAATGGATGTGTGAAGGATAAATTACCGCTTTGAATGGCCCACTTCAGTGTGTTTATAAATTCACCTGCTCTTGTGGAGCTAGTTATATTGGCCGCACAAAGCACACACTTTCCAAATGCATGTCTGGACATTATCCGGCATGCAAGACAGTTACTAGTTCGATTCTTGAGCACTTGGTGAGATCAAGCCACGTAGCTGCACCAGAGTCGTCTTTAAAGATTATCTACAAGGTGAGACCAAATGGTACAAAATGTGTTAGGTTTCGACATTTGTGTATGGCGCAAGCGTTTGAAATTCGTCAGTACAAGCCCGAACTCTGTACACAGAAAGTGTTGGTCCAGTCTCTTATTCTACCGTGGTCTTGACCTCCTCACTAGTCATTCCCTGTAAAAGCTTTTAATTTTTTTAAAATTTCAAATTTACTTTTAGTTTGCTTTTACTTTAATAATTAATTCACTATCATCTATGTCATATGTTTCTTTTGTACATTTTCACACCCTCTTCACGCTTGTTCACTCTTGGACACTCAACTACCTTTATTCGCACTCAATAGCAATTTTAACCTTATCAAATTTCTAACCATTTCTTCCTTTGTGCTGTTGAGTACTACGTAATTTACGACTTTTGTCTTTTTACTTCTAAAGCCACTTCTGAGTAATTATACGAATTACGTCACCCCCTATTACTCAATAATAAACTACTATACACTTCTGGTAAATATAAATGCGACTATACAGCCTCTGAAGATGATTTCGCTGATAAAGAAGTTTTCTTTGCTGAATTTGTCTTTTATTTTCTTCGTGACTCAATGGTTTTTTTCGAATTGTTTGAAATAACCATGAGTTGATTAAAGTTCAAATACCCAGGTAATTAGTATTGATGAAAATCAAAATAATAATAAAGCATATGAAGGTACATTGTGAAAATTAATTGAAATAAAAGAATTTGAAAAATGGGAAACAGTAACCATATCAGGAGTATATCAACAACTGTTTCTTTCTGAATACACAAGTGAAGCGAATCGGAAAATGAACAAGGAGAACTAGCTATGCTAGAGTGTAAAATAAAACGAACGGAAGAAGGTTAACTGCACACAAGCGTTTATAAAAAGCCGACGCATTCTAACAGATACTTAGACTTTAATTCATCTTATCCATCGTTGTCTGTAAAGGCTGGCTTAGTTTAGTGTCTAACAAACCGAGCAATAGCAATAAGTAGTACAACTAAAAACCTAAGCGATGAAATGAAACAGACAGAAGAGGCATTGGTGTTAAATAACTATCCTATAAAATTCATTGGGAAGATCAAAAAAGGTCGAAAGCAAGATAAAAATAATGGAGAAACTAACAATGATAACATAAATAAGAGAGAATATAAAGCATCTACAGTTATACCATTTAACGAGGGGACATCTGAGGTCCTACGTAGGACTATCAATAAAGCAGGGATTAGGGTGGCATTCAAACCTACAAACTCACTCAGGGACAAGCTCTGTAGGTTAAAGGACCCAGTGGACCCAATTAGACAAAATAATATAATTTGCAAAACACCTTGCAATGACTGTGAGTTAGGTCAACTACATAGGTCAAGCTAGTAGATCAGGAGGAGTGAGATTATCAGAACATAAGAATTTAGCTAAGGTAAGGATGATTGATCCCACGAAGATAAGTAATTGAGAGAAAGAATCAGCAATCACACTGCATGCATTAACACACAACCACACAATAGTGTGGGACAGAGTCGAAATTCTAAAAAGTAATACAGGGAGATGGAGAGAGAGATTGATTACTGAATCCTGGTTCATCGAGTCTACACCCAACACATGCAACAGAAATGACTCAATGCAAATGCCAGAGATGGAAGATATTATTACCAGTCAAATCAGAGGATAATAAATAATCTCGAAATTCTATTTCAATTCCCATACATTATAACATTCTAACACGATTTGCATTTTTACTAGAAAAACATCTTATTTGCAACTGAAAGTGTTCTCTGGGCTGATTGGTTTAGTTGCGAAGCTTTCGTCGTCCTTCTAGACAACATCTTCAGCGCCATATTTAGCACAAAGTGAAATGATTTAAATTTCTTCATACGTGATGTAATTGCGTCTCCTGGTTACTATCTTTACATATGTATTGACCACTTTCTATTGACTTGGATTTTAAACTTTTTGGTTACCTGATTTACTTTTTATTAATTGGTATATTTCATCTATATTAACGTGTTTGTTAATCGCATTTTCGCTTGAGTACCAGGCTTCTAGGAATTCTCTGGCACTTTTCGTGTTTCCTCTGTTTAAGATTTTGACATGATCCCAATCAAATTGATGGCCATAATTGTCTGTATGCATTGATACTAAAGAATACATATCATGTCTTTTCACGGCTGATTTATGTTCTTGGATTCTGATTCGAAGGGGACGCCCACTTTGGCTGATGTAATGTTTGTTGCAGTTCATACAATTTATTTTGTAGACGGTATTAATTGTATCCCCTTTTTCTGTTGGATCTTTTGGTTTGCATAATATCGAATTAAGCGATTTTACTGGTTTGTGCGCTATATCTATATCTAACGGTTTCAGTATTCTGGCTGTTATTTCAGAGATATTCCTCATGTATGGTAGAATGAATTTTCTTCTGGTCTTTGATGATGGTTCTTTGTTGGTGTTTTGATTCGACTTTAAACACTTTTTGATGAAATTTTGTGGATAACCATTCTTTTTGAAGACCGTTTGTAGGTACTTTTCTTCCATTCTTTTCAACTCTGGAGTGCTACAATGTGTCTGAGCTCTTTTAAACAATGTCTGCACACAGTTTCGTTTGTGAGTAACTGGATTATTGCTAGTATAGTTAAGTATTTGATCTGTGTGCGTTGATTTTCTATAAACTTGTGTCTCTAAATCTCCTGTGTTGGTTCTCCTGATTAAGACACAAGTTTATAGAAAATCAACGCACACAGATCAAATACTTAACTATACTAGCAATAATCCAGTTACTCACAAACAAACACTCAAACAAACACTCACAAACACTCATATTATTATTTCTGAATGTACATTATCTTACATTGATTTTTATTCAGATGTCCAATCAATTTCACTCATATATATAAATAAAGTAAGAAAGTTGTGTGAGTGACTTGATATGATTATGAGCTATAATTTTTGCTCGAAACGTGATTAGCTAATATCACTGTACAACACTGTGTAATTTATCAAAATAATATCTTATCTATGAGGAGTTACACAAGTTGGACTTTAACCATCTAGTTGCTACAGCTTCGCCGATATATAGTAGACCAAGTATAACATAAATGATTCTAAAAAGTTCGTTTCATAGTTACCATCTACAACATAATGAATACTGGTACTACTGAAGAATTTTCCACCTTTCAGTTGTAAGTTCTCTGGAAAATTCTCCAACATACAGTCACGATTACGCAACTGTGTAATATTAATGACTGGCACATCCTAATTAGTAACTCAAAGTATATAAAAATGTTGTTTATTCATATTCTGGTTTAGGTTGTATGCACAGTTGGTTAGAACTAACAGAATAAAGTGAGATCATGTCATCCTGGTCAATTTATATTGTTCTTATTTTGTTCAAGTTCTTCATGGGAAAGAATCTTATGAAAAAACCCGAATATTTTTCTCCGTATTCTGCACAATAAGACTGCATTCTAAAGTCATTTTGTGATTAAAATCTATATACACTGACGTAATGGTACATTTATTCACACTGCCAATGTGTCTTTGATCACAGACATACTCAACTGTTTAGATTATTGGTTTTCATATGGATTTGGACTAATCAGAATGTAAATTCTACCATGAATCGACATTGGTTAGACAGATCGCCGAAAACCAGTGAGAACTAGACAGCTGTATCGTCTTAGTTTGGGACTGTTCAGCAGTTCACACCCACGACTGCAGCTGTCAGAGATTTTCAGTATACCACTACTAAAAAATATTGTATCTTTGGTTATACATATGAGCAGCTTTTGCAAAAATAAATGAAATCAACAGTTGTATAACACTAGATATAAACTGAGAGGTAACTGATTAGTCTTTATTTCGCATTCAGAGATTACACAGGCTTGAATTACCATAGTTACGTTGAACATATAGATGTCTATATTTTTTAAAGTTACAGACAAATCAGTAGGATTATAGAAATATATTTGGTCAAATTACCATCTGATGAGATGCTTTATTGATTATCTGTCACTAGTTTAACCTTAACTGTTTGATTATGAACACGTCATTATGCATATAGGAAGCAAATTCATGGCTCAGAAGTGAATTTGATGTAATAAATGCTAAGTACGAAGGTGGAACTACCTGCAGTTATGTGCTTTCTTCAAATCTCTCTCTAATCACCTTAATATATTTTATTTCATTTTAGATATTACGTATGAAAAAGAAGTTATCTGAGCTACAGGAGGAAAATACGAAACTTCGTGCAAATGAAAAATTATTAGACGGAAAACATAGCAATAAAACTCGTCGATCACGACCTATCAGCTTAGAATTAATGAGTCAAGAATTATTAATTGAAGAAATTAAAAATTTAGAAGAGGAATTAAGTGAGATGCAAAACAGTTTCGCTTTTTCTTTAAAAATCTCCATTTTTGGTCTCTACGTTTGTGAATTAACTGTTTACAGGTGCAATCATGAACTGACATCAATTACAGGACCACTGGGGCTCTGCAGGGGTACGCACCCAGTTGGGTTTCAACGCAGGAAATTCCGGTTACAAGGCGAGCTCGCAGGTCATTCACCTATTGGGATACGATCCGGTGATCTTCGCTCCAGTTATCTTGCTGGTCGTCGATGACAATGGTTGGTGGTTGCACTATAAATCGGGAATTGGCAGAAGTTGAAATGCACCCCAGTGGCTGATTGGTCTATGAGCTCACTTTTTAACCTGAAAATTCTAGGTTCAGAACTCGGTGGGTGGGTACTGCTGAAGAATTTCAAACTAAGTTGAAGCAGCTGTCCAGTACTCCGTGGCTTTCCAATGGTTCTCAGATTGATATCAACTTGTGAACAAACCTGTAACTAGTCGAATCTTTGAGAACAGTAGATTCTGGTAAACAAAATACAGGAGTACTTAGTAATTTTTGCCGTCCCCAAGTCATCTTTAGTGAAATAATGAAGAAATATGCGTATTTAAAGACACATTTCATTGACGAGAAACTGCACAAGAAAACTGCAAAGCCTAATTATTTAAAAATCATGATTTGTTAACCTCATCAGATTTATAGGGGATTCTAACGGTAAAGTATAATTATATTTCAATAGTTTACACACAGTGATAAGTTTTGTTATTGGTAATATTTGTTTTTTAATTAAAAAACAAAACAATTCCAACAGTAGTGTGAACACAGACAGTAATTTTGCTCGAAATATTCCCAATGACAAAACTTATCTTTGTATGCAAACTATTGAAATCTAATTAAACTTTATTTGATCTATTCCATAATGCTCAAACTTTTTACTGACATTGATTCTAACAGTAATGCGTTATTGGATAATATTTCTCACTGATATACTATAAATATATGTGTTGGTGGTTTACTGGTTGAATGCTCAACAGCCATATGGGAGGTCGAGGTTTGATTCCTAGACAACAGATTTCTAAACCTCACGTAGCCGGTAGTAGGCCTTGAAAAGAGTAATAGTCAGGTGTGAGCCTATCAACCCTACCTTGAAGAACGAGCACCACAACTACTGAAACTTCAAAGCTTGAAGCCTTATGATCTATTCAAGAAGCAAGAAATGAAGGGAAAAATTATAACTCTGCAAAGAGCGAACTATTACAATTAGAGAAATTATTCTACCTTAGTTTCGTCAAAGTCTTAACACCGACGTGATGTTAAGCTGCTGTCCCCATTGTACTGCTTTATTTTTTGGTTGAACTTATTTTATCTTTAGTATAAATAAATGGTGATTCCAAGCCAGCCAACTATGTAATAAAGGTGGCTGTTCAATGTTCTCAAGAACGGTCGATACGGTAGAAAAAAAGAGAACATATTCCATCTGCGGTGGTTTTTTATTATTCTGCTGACATGTTATTTTTCCTCTGGGGCGTTGTACGGAGATAGTTTGGAGGCAGTGTGCTTTATTTTGCCTTCAGTTTCCGTATACTTATTGAAGGGGGAAGCTATTATGGTTTTAAGTAGTATGCCTTATGTTACTGCCTATCAAATGGTTTTAATATTAAATGCACGATATATATATTTAGCTTGTTGCACTGTAAACGTTGCCACTTACCCAAAGCATCTAACGGGAATTCAAGTGGTTCAAACTGATTCAACCCTTGAAGAGGAATCATTGTAGGTAAGTTGATTGGCCCAGTGCTAAAAATGCCCAGTCGTCATCTGCTATTTAGATCAGCTCGATCTTGCTGATGAGCACTACTGATTGATGCCAGCAGTTTTCAGTTACTCATTAAAATCATTATTATGTTTTATGTTAGATCAATGGAGCTGGAACAGGCCTTAGGACTAGAAAGTATAACTGCTGATAAAACTTGCACAAGACGTGCTAGTTGTGGTTTAATGGCCTTATGAGCAACGCTTTGATGTATGAAATGATAGGTGCACAACTCAGATTGTAATGCAGACACCATCAATTGCTAGGGTGTGGATCCATATAGATAATGAGCTTTGAATAGGATGAAACGCAAGTACTAGATTCCACTGAAAGTCTCCTTCTATCAAATGTCGTATTCTTTCTTCGTAAAAACTTATACACAGTGTTCCACTGATCTTCTTCACAAAGGCAAAGAAAGAATCTGAAGTACAGAATATATGCATTTGATTTCGAGGCTACTGTTTGACGCAGACAGCCCAAAATATACACTATACGAAGATCGTAGTTTTATGAAATAGTCAAGAATGGAATGCGATAGCAAAAAATGTTATAGTTGTCATGAAAAGAAACTGGTTATTTATGAGAAATGTGGAGGAAGATTTAAGAGGTTGTGGCAAGTGGTTTACACCATAATACTGACTACCTAGTAACATACAAGAGGACAATTACGCTATAACATACGAGAAAGAATTTAAAATTGACTTTAAGGCAATAAAGTGAGTCAAGATTATTGTGTCAAAAAGTGAGAATAATGGTAGAAATCTAATCGCCTGTTAGGTAATCTTCCTCCCCTACATTATTATCCATTCCTTCCGTTGTGAGCAGAACATAGGGATTTAGATGCACATCTCTATTGCTCTCAGTACTTGTTACAACCATAGTGATACTGGTATAAGAATAGAACTTGTGCACTATGGTAGAGTATAATTCCAATATGGGTAAAGTTTATTTTAATAAAGTCCCACAGTGTCATACAGTAATATTTATTGAAGTTTCAAGCTCAATCTATTACTGCTCATAATCGTATCAAGGTATTCCTTGATAGATTGTGCTTGAAACGTCATCAGTAAATAATACTGTATGACAATGTGAGACTTTATCAAAATAAATTTTACCCATAATGGAATAGTGATACTGGATTGTGGAGGTTGTTCAACTTGATGAGAATGCACCTGTAACCAACTAATTGCTTGAAGATATCTTCAACACTGGGATAGACACAAAAGTCAGGATGGGAAAAACGACCATTCGAATGGTGAAAACAACGTTTATTAGTCAAAATACTCAACATGTCATATCTACAGTACTTCAGGAATTTAAACCTCAAGTAAATAAAAAAGTTTGATCGGTTATCGGTCCTCAAAAAATAAGCCATAAATAAACGAACCAAAAACTATCCAATCAGGTCATCATGTTAATATATGCATAAACCAAGATTTCATGACTAACAAAGAAGTTTGTCTGTCCTGACAGTATTCCAACATCACTCTCAGTTAGCTCCACGGCTTTAATGATGTAAGGACAAAACTTGGGCATTGTGGTAGAGTTTACTTCATTATGAATAAAATTTTTTGATAAAATCACACAGTGTTATACGTTTCGAGTTCCACGGATGTTAACAACTTTTAATTTCCTACTCATATAAACACCGCCTAGATGTCATCTTCCTTTAAGTTGCTAGGCAAATAATATTCCATTCTTGTTATGAAATAAATAGTTTCTTTTCACGTCAATTTTAACGTTTTTGCCATCACATTGCACTCTTGGCTACTTTGTTAAACTACTATCTTCACGTTTAGTTCTCACTGAGTAGAAAAAGTACGTCTTCTTATTTTATTAATCTAATTTGTATTTCTGTCTATCTACAGCTCAAGCGAAGTCTCGAAATGAAAGGAATGTACTTTATACTTCAGGTTTTCTTCCTGCTCCGACGAAAATTTCTCCTTTCTTGATTGATCAGATTCCCACCAATCACAATGAAGTGTGCACTGTAGCATCTCTTATTAACCTTATAAGTTCTGAAACTTATCGTCATAAAAATGATTTTTGTTAACTTTTGGATATTTCATATCTCTAGTTTTACCTGTTTCTTTTAACCGTTTTTATTAGATAATGCTGAATCTGAAGCGAGTTCAGCCCATGAACAAGTGAACAGTTCACAAGTTCGTATCACGTACTTAGAAGACACAATGACAGAAAGTCGAAGTGAATCTGATCGACGAGAAGGTGAACTGTTAAAGTGTTTAAGTCATTTAGAAGAAAAATGTACAGTACTCAATGAATTACTTACAGTATTAGAAGAACAGAATAATAATCTTCAGTCAGAAATTTGTAGGTAAGTTAATATTGAAGTTCTGCGATATCCGGTAATTTTGATTTTGCTTTTAGCTTTCTGATTTCGTTCTCCAATATTATTCCTTTCCTTGGAGAAATCTTGAATTAATACTACTCTGAAAAACTGATGCTGATACCATATTGTGTTGATGGAGAATAAAATGAAAGCTATAGTAATTAAAACATATGTCTTTAAACTACTTAACCGGTGTTCCATCAACCACACTGTGGTGATCATTTCTCACTTTTACTCCAGTTTCTGAAGATTTCAGTTGCCTGCCATTAGAATGGACTATGTGTGACCATCTATTAGCTAGCACTTTATTAGTTAGTGAATAAAGTTTGACTTCACCCTAAATTTGCTGAGATCCAAAGTAAGTAGCAATGGATTAGTTGTCTGAAAGACTACCCAAGATAACATACTTTTGTTGGATTAGTGTCCATTAAGGTTCGTAAAATGAAGGTTGCTGTTTAGAAATTTATATCCATGATCTCAGTATTAGTTCCAAGTTTAATTTATATCGGTAATTTTAGAGTGGAAGCAAAATCTGCCCTGTTAATTTAAATTAAATGTCCGAGGAGCGTACAATGGTAATTAGAGCATCCAATTGAAAGTCAAATAGCCGTGTGTTGACCTTTGCATTGACGTCGATAAGTTACGTCCACCACCAATTTTGAATGTCATCGTCTGTATTTAATTTTTTTGCAGACATTATGATTGCTGTGAATTCGGTTGAATTTAACGTCTTAGGAGCGAACTTTCTAGCATAGATAAGTCATATTGATCTTGATTATACAGATGATATAGTCCTTTTGGGTGAAGATATTTAAAAACTGCAGGTTTTTCTGTAAATCTTGAGGACAAACCTAAATATGTTTGAGATGTCCTTCGTTCCTATCACTTGTAAGAGCTGGTTTCCACTTTCCTTTCAGAATAGAGAGGGGCGAAATACGTTACATATGTTGAGCCTTTCACTTGCTCGAGTGAGTTACATAAGCCCTGACAAAGTAGTTCCTGATGGCATCTCAATACTGGTAATAGAAGGCTCGTTTGGCATATGTCAGCCTGCAACACCTTTGTCTTGAGCATCATATCCAGCCAACCATCAGTGGGTTCATTTACTACATCGGTTTGTTCTACCTTCCTTTGTGGCTGTGAGACTTATCTTCTGAAAGTAAACTATGGGGGGTCGGTTATCAGAGACTTCTTTATTCACTTAGTCAATTAAGATGGTGAAACACAATAAGTAATAATAATGAGGTTAGGTTTAAAGTGTTAGATAAAGAGAAAACGTTGATTTATGGGGTTGTAAGGCTCCAGTGATACAGTTAGATTAGATAAGTGTGATTAATAGTGGGCTATTCGTTTGTTTAAAGAACAATTTAATCTGGAAAGGTGGATTGGCCTGACGGAAGCTTGGCACCTATCCATCAATTTGTTGACTGATGAAGGAGGGTGGTGTTGCTGGAGTTCCTTTTTACTTTTCTTTTCTAAATAGGTGTCTCATCTTTAATACCACCGAGCATAAAGAGTTGATGAAGAAAGTCTGCTGCAGGCTGTTGAAAAAGCTTTTCATTAGGCGAGCCAAATCTGTGAACCATGCAGAAGAACTGGCACCTTTGACACTAGTGTTGAAAATCTGAATTTTGTTCCTTATGCTAAATAAGTAGATTTCTCCACTGATTTCAGTTTACTGAATATCTGTTTTGCTTTTCCGATCCTGCTTTTCGCATCTAAATTTGTGTTGCTAGTAAATGAAACAACGTTGACCAGATAGGTGAAAGAGGTAACCGCTACGTACCTCATCCTACTTAGAACTCATCATCTGAATGTACCCTTATCCCCAGACAGTGACAGCGGTCCCACTCATCCTTAAACTTATCACATAAGAGATGGTTCTCGTGGTCCACTGGTCTAGTAAAAAGTGCTTTGACATTTTAAAGGGTCCTTGATATGTCTACGTTCTGGTGAGAACACCATTACTCGGTGGGGATGAAGATATACCCAGATGACGAACCCCAAATAGGACGAAATGCGCATCCTCCATTCCACTGTAAACCGAAATAGCATCATGTTAAAGTTCAGACATCGTACAAACAGTCATAGTAGAAGCGTACATGTCAGCAGAGACCAAGGATTTAGGTACAACTTATTGAACCAATCTGAAATACATGCTAATCAGCTATCTTTTATATGGTATCAATAGTTTATAATGAAACTGTTTTCCAAAATTAACTCCCCCTACAGTTTTTCGCTCCATAATGTCCAACACAGGCAAGAATAAGAAATACCTTGTAACTGTGTTTATTACATAAAACGTTTACAAAATAAAAACGAAATTTCTGTTAATGCAATTTTTGTATATGCTAACACGAAAGTATACTTCCTGTTAGGGTATGCGCATTGGTTTATTTAGTCTGAAAGATTATTACCCATAGTATCTGGCATATGAATTAGTTAGTGTAACCAATCAGTAAATCATGCATATTGATTTTTCGAAGGGGAAATCAATAGACATAATGAACCAATTAGAAAAATAATACTGACTGTGCAGATGAATAAACTTAATAGACGGTCAAAAGTATTTTAAACAGTAAGTGGATAATTTCAGTGACTTAAAAACTCTTTGATTGCACCCTGGGTAGTAACTAATATTATGCATCTAGCCGTTGGTGCTGTTGCAGGCTGGATTGTATCAGTCAAATTTTCACTTTCGCCACTGCCTCTCGACTACAGTGTTATCTGAATTGTTGTTAGATGGGTGGAAGTAATCGGTGCAAAGACTTGAACCCAAGTTTCATGCTTATTAGCTGCTCACCAAATAGCAAGGCGTTTCTGCAATCTTGAAAGAGCCCCTGTCCTTTTCAATATTCGAATCCAGGTGACCCATTGCTGCAGCTGGAGATGTTACCGCTAAGCTATTCGGGCTCGTGATTGACAACATGTTGGACTGTAATGCATACTTTGACTAGACACTGCATAGCAATTAATGTCATGCGTTTAGTCCTTCGCCTAGTGCCAACTAAGTTCTATCAGACTTGGAAGTATCCACTGAAACTTAATAAATTATGAAGCATTTAGAAGTTAGGCTTCCAGCGAAATTCTTATCACAAACTAACATTGGTCAGGGAATCAATAAATCCACTTGGTTCTGGTTTTGAACTACTCATCATTATGCACATATGAACTCATTGTGGATCTAAATATTTAAACCAGTGATTTTCCGTTCAGCAACCCATGAATTCTGACTTCTATTTATTGTCTGTATAGCGCCACAGATATTCATTTTCGTCGGAAAGTATTCATTTTTTAAACTTAACTTGAGGAATCCGTCTGGGTTACAACTTCTTACAACTTCAGAAATCCATCTCGATGCTGACCACTTATAAACAGTAGGTTAATATACAGATTTTTATGTGGTTGTGTTCTCTGAGCTGAATGGTTTATTTACGAAGCTTTTATTGCCGTACTAGGCAAAATTTTCGGCGCATACTTCAATTTGAAGTGAACTTTTAGATTTCTCCACGACTTTATTGGTCATTTCTCCCGGTGACCTAGAACGTGATTTGTTGTTTTTGTGTGTTTCGATACCTTCTAGGCTACTTGCATTGGAAATGATAGTTTGTTTGACTTGAACTTTGACCTTTTGTGTGCAAAATTTCCTTCTTATCGGTTGGTAGATTTTGTCTATCTCTATGTGTCTACTGATTGACGATTCACTAGAATACCAGGCTTCTAAAAATTCTCCAGCGTTCCTGGTGTTTCCTCTGTCTAATATTTGAAAGTTATCCCAGTCGAATTGTTGTCCGTGGTTGTCGGTATGTAGTGATATGAGGCAGTGGATGTCATGTCTTTTGACGGCTAGTTTATGATCACGGATACGAAGATGAAGGGGACGTCCACTTTGGCTAATGTAGTGTTTTTCGCAGGTGTTACAATTTATTTTGTAGATGATGTTGGTTTTATCTTCTTTCGTTGTTGAATCTTTTGGTTAACATAGAGCTGAGTAAATTGATTTTGTTGCTTTGAGTGTGACGTCAATTCCTAAAGGTTTGAAGAGTCTTCCAGCTTCTGCCAATTAGGGATTTATACAGTGCGACCGCCAGCTACGAGATGAAATCAGTTAGAGATCCACTGAAAGCCAGAAGAAGGTGTAAAAGAGTCTCAAACTAGGACGAAAAAGCTGTCCATGACTCCCTGGCTTTTCAACAGTTCTCTAACTGATATCAATTGATGATCAAACCTGTAAAAATACATGGGTTTATTACCGGTGAAAATCACTATGAAACTTTTTATTAAATGTAAGAATTAACAAGATTGTAACTTCTGGTATGAAATATACATTAGTGCACTTGCAATTGTGACACTGTATTCCACTAATCTGGGTTTCTGTTTACTTCAGCAGGACGCTGAAGCCCGGTGGGTGTGTACTGATGAAAAGTCCCAAACTAGGACGAAACAGATGTCCAGTGCTCCCAGGTTTTCCGGTGGTTCCCTAACCAATGTCAGCTTATGATGAAATCCTGTAACCAATCAATCAAATCCCTACAAACAAATACTTGAATATTCTAGCTTTTAGTTGTTATTTTTTATATCCTCCAAACTTCCTGTAACTAAAGAATTTGAAAAATGTAAAAGAAGGATAACAGATGAAATTATTTTACAAGGAGTTAATAATGTCTAAAGCCATTGTAGTAGTAGATGGGAGTGGATAAATAGCTCCCATATTCAGAGATCAGGGTTTCACAATGTCTTTGCCAAAAGTTTCCGATGTATACAGGAAATTATATATGCCCAAACCAAGTTCACTTTTAACAGTTTGCAAAAATTTGGGCATTGGGTATATTATATTCATTATAATAAAGGTTTTTGTATTTCCCAATGAATGAAAAACAAAACGATATCGTGGTTTTTACTGACGTTTCGCTATTTAATGCTAATAGCTTTATCAAAGTATTATTAAACCGGAGTTTACAAAATCTCAGCATATATATAACAAAGAGTTAAGGGGTGAGAAAATAGACTTCGGTCAAGTTAAAAGGACATATTGAAAGTCAAAATAACAATGAAGATCACTAAACCAAATAACAAAGGTAATAGTACATCTGTTATGATATCAAAACAAAGTTTACTAACTTGATCATCGTTCGTTAGTCTGGGGGCATTTTTCGTTGTCAAGTTGGTCAATTGGTAAAGATAACAAAAACAAGTGTAGATTGTTGGATTTGATCAGTGTTTGAAATTATAAAGACAGTGTGTGTTTACATAGTGAACTTGCATATCGCATTCGTGTTGATTTTGTCACTTCATGGGGGAGGGAGGTGTTGTAACCAGGTCAGATTCTGTTTTAGTCCATCATTCCTATTCAGGCAATTTGGATTCCACTTGATATGAAGTGCTTCTGATATTAGACGTTCTTTGTGATTTCTGAAGTTTTTCTGGATTATTTCAATATTGTCAAAATCAGTTTTGTGACCTGATTCTATAGCATGTAGACCTATGGCTGATGATTTTTCAAGTTTTTCTAGTTCAACCGAATTTCTCGGTGGTCGAACAGATGCCCTACGGTGTTCATATCTTCTGACTTTGATTTCTCGAGATGTTTGTCCAAAGTATATCGCATCACATTCCAAGCATTTTATTTAATAGACACAATTGGACAGAGAATCTTTAGGGATCTGGCCTTTTAAGGTACGTACACTCTTAACTGTCCTATCAGTTCACATGAAAGATGTAAGATTATTAGCGTAGCAACAAATAGTGATTTCGAATTAGCCCATTAACTGACATTATTCAGAGAAATATTCAAAAGCAAGGAGCACTGGACAGTTATCTTGTCTTAATTTGAAGCTCTTCATCATTCCGCACTCAGTGCTGCTCCCCGGTTTTTATTGGGTCTCCAGTTGACACAGTTTCGCCACCTCTCTTGAGAACAAGCAACTTTTTGTATAACAGCACTTGAAAATGCTGATTTAGTTTGTTATAAAGAAGTAAAATACTTGAGTTCAGGGTTTTGCACTACTGTAACGGTTATTTTTCAAAAGGGATCTGAGGATTCCACTCTGATATTGTTAAATATCATATAAATGTGATGTCAATGACAGAAAGTGATTCTATATTGTTTAATTGTGTCCTTCAGCCTACTAAATTTGAACTATGCATCGGAAGATCAGCTATCTATCAATAAGAAAATGGATGAAATTTCTAGTGAATCCGTTAAAATAGGGGTAAGTTTATTCCAGACAGAAATTTTTGTTTGGGTAGTAAGATTTAAAAGATTGAATTGCTTACTGAATCAACGCTTTATTGTAGTCTTGATTTTTATGCTGATTTCCCTTACTTTGACAGTGGATAACTGTATAGTCGTGAAAACATGTTTTGCTCCACTTAAGACAAAGTGTAATGGTGTGATACAGACAATGTTTTCCATTGGAATATTATTTTCACATATTCCCACAGTCCAATACTGCATTAACAACATAATACAATGTATATTTGAACATTCTATATATATATATATATATCGGTATGATCAATGACAAATATACCTTGACTTCTGTTTCTTGCCTTCTATTGTTACTAAAGTAACACGATAAACTTCGAAACAAATGTGTGGTGATTTCTTCTTTGAGAAATGGTAGGCACGGCAGTCGTGCCTTCAGATCCCAACAGATTTTCTTCGCAAAACTGGATCTTGACACCCTATAAATTTTTAAAGAATTAGAAGTAGCGGATTTAGTGTTGCGTCACACAAATGCATAGATCACACCGTCAAGGATAGTGGCACTTTCGAATATTTCAGTCTTTCCTGTGGCTTAATATTTACATGCGTCTATCGGATGTCATTAGTTATTAAGTATTTTCAGAAGACTTCAGATGTCATCATGTTTACAATATTCATTTCAATACAATTCTTCTTTCTAAATGATTTATTCCTGTATGTAATCAACTTTTATTTTCAGGATCCAAATCAGAAAATTCGATGCTTAGAAAAATTACTTTCCGAAGAACATCAGCGTACTATAGTGCTTCAGAAACGTTTGGAGTTGGCCACTAAACAGAATATTTGTGTAAATCAAAACTCTGAAAAACATTTGGAGTCTAAACGTAGCGAAATGCTTCAGAGAGAGGTGAGTAGGTATGTTTTTAATATTTATGTAGGTCAACCTTACGAAATATTTGACTGACTGAGTGATCTTTAGATTTACTGGTCAGATGACAGTGTAATTCAAACTAAAGTATGGATGAAAAGTAATTATACTACTATCACTGAGTAATTTCAGACAATATTTCTTGCTCTTCTAGAAACCGAATATTTCATACAGATAGGTTCCTGAATTGTAACTGAAATTCTTGTTATGCTTCGAATGCTGACTCAGGTCGTTCGAATAAAGATGTAATATTTCTTAAATAAGCATCTTTAATGGAACAGCACTCCAGTGCGCATCTTCCGTCGATTATTGCAGCTAGAGCATCGATAGAGAACAAAACATACAAAATTTTACATGTTAACAGATTTACATAATATTTGTGAATACGTTAAAGAGATCCGCTAGCTTTATTAGCTGTTTACTAGGAAACACAATAGTCGGGTTGAAAACAGAGAACACTTGTATTTAAAAAATAATGCCGATGAAAGATTGAACCAACACTGGAAATTCCAAAACATCAAAAATTGCAACTCGAAGACATAGCGAAAACTCCGTTAACATATGAAATCCGTTTAATACAAAGAATGCCCTCTCAGGGTCAAGTATGTGTTAATTTAAAAGATTAGATGTTTATGTAGTCTTTATGAGGTTGAATTTTGAGTCGAGTTTGTTGCTTCCTAATCGAAATTCTAAGAAACATCAGAAAACATGAAGTGTAGTGTAAATAACCATTGTTTCAATTGACTCATCATTTAGATGAATGCATACGTATACATTACTCAGAAAAACTATATCCCATCACTAAGTTTAAGAAAAAATTGATGTGGAATAATAAAAAGTAAGAATATTATTTACAATTATGGTAATAATAATAATAATGAAGGTCTCGTTTTCAATTCATGGTGGGATTATGGATGTGTACTGATGAAGAGTATAAAGCCAGGACGAAGCAAATTTCCAGCACTCCTTGGTTTCCACTGGTTCTCTAACTGCCATCAATCTGTGACCGAATTTTAAATGATAAATTTAAAAAAAAACAACTACTTGCTATACACGTCTATAAATAATAAATTTATTTATATCAGTTGTATTTAGGTTGATTTCCGCAGCAAGCTGTCAGTAAGTCAAACAGTTTTCTGCAACTATATAAGGATTTTTCAATTCAAGTGGTCGTGAGATTCAGTTTAAGGTAAATATGCTCACTGTAGCATGCATGGGCACTGGTTACCTTATTCAAAACAGTCCTACAGAAGGTCATATCTCTGACTGCTGCCTTGGGTGATGTGAGTTGGAATACTTGAGACCAATTTGCTTCCTTTGAGTTTGCAGATATGCCATTGTAATGAGTTCCAGTAAGCGTGAAAGCTAGGCTCACGACTTCTTTTCGCTTGTCCCCAGTCATCTAATAATGACTGATGAAAAATCAGATCTGCAAAATGAGGTATTTGACGTCTGATCATTCGATAATTTGAACATGAGACAATTATTGTAGAAGATTTGGGTACGTTCAACACATAATCAATAAAGCATTATCTGCATTTTCTGAGTGAAAGAGTCGACTAAAATTTCCACAAAAGAACTTCTTACGGCCTTCTTTCCATTCTTATTACCTTATAATGTGAACATTTTTCTACTTAATAAGCGTCCAAATATAAAACCATACATTATAATCAGTGTCGTCTCAGTTTCACCTGTTTTTATTTCAGCTGGATGAAAAAGAAGAAATGATTGATGCTCGTGATGAACAAATTAATGATCTGAAATCGCGTGTTGAACAAATGCGTAAAATGAATGAAGCAATGCGTGCATTAATGGAGAAGGAACCAATTGAAAGCAAGGTTCGTTTGCCTTCTCTACCTCAACCAGTAATTCATTTTTTGTACTCCTTAGAGTTTTTAGTGGAAAACAGGGCTCCAAGCCTTTAAGTTTCGGCGGTGGCAGTGTCTTTCACGGGGTGAGGTTCCTAACCTTTCCCGGCTTACAGTTGGCTAGTGAGGAATGCGTCGGGCATGCTTTGTTGTCTGGCGAGCATTCTATTCCTGAACCACTGATACGCCTTCTTTCCATACAAATCGAATTCTTACTCCTCATGTCTTTTAGTTGACTGTTTGTTTTCAAGTGTTGGTTTATAGGGATTTGACTGATTTCAAGTTAGGATTCATTTGTGATTGAATTTTTTCCAATTGGCTGAGTGTTCAGTCTGTTAGCTTCGTAACTGGAAGGTTCGGGGTCAGTCTTCAGTGCTGTGATGGGCTCTGAAGAGTCCCAATGGAGAATGGAACACTTACTCAGTACTCTCTGCTATTCAATAGTTCTCTAACTGGTGTCAGTTCATGATCCACCTTGATTGTTTATTTTATGGAAAAGACTAGATTTAGCTAATACTAGTCCACCTACAGATCACACTGGTTAATGATATGGTTGGTTGATGACAACTTGTAGAAAAGTATACACACAAACTTGTGGTGAAGGTGATTAAAAGATAATTTACTCATGTTTTTAATTTCCACTGATATATCTAATGGATGACTAAATACTATTGTGGTGAGAGCTGTCTACTGGCCAAATTGGTAGACAGTAATTTACGTCAATATTTACGTTCCCAACATCTGTCGTGAGAAAATGTGAACAAAGATTGATTCAAAACCGACCACAGCAGACTTTGCGTAGGCGGATGCAGTTAACATATAGAGGATTTGATATTCAAGAAACAGTCACAAATAGATGAAAGATTAACTTTACGTGAGAAACAACCAATCGGAAGACTGTGTATGTTTGCTTAAATAACCATAGTAATGTACATGAAAATATATAAATATGCGTTGATTTCCTTAATAAATGATCTGTTGCCTGACTCTTGCCTTCTGTCGTTACACTATGAGGATTACTAGCTTGAAGTAAATTGTTTTAGGTGGTGGTTAGCCGTAGAATCCAGAGCCATCATTTCTCTCAATTTAGGACTCTTCACCCAAGTATACGTGTTCCCCCACTTATTCTTGAATCCAGTACCCATATATTCAAACGTCAAAGGGTTAAATACTAGCTCATTAGATCATACTGGTTGGTCACTAAGGTGCAGACAGTGTCACCTGTCTCAACCTTAGTGACTGATAAAATTAGGCCTCTATCGGCAATAAGGAATCGGCAGGTGACACTGGTATCTCCCCGGTGACCAATAAGTGTATCCACTGCGTTGCTGTAGGAAGTCAGTAGTGAGCCTAAATCGTTTTAAATGCAATTCTTGTTGGTACATTTTTCAGTTTGAAAGGGAGAGTTTTAACAGAATCAAGACATTGTCCAGTCTGATAAACCGTGATAGTATATAAGTGATCCTTGAAGTGACATAACTTATACTGTTTTGTTGAAAAACAAATCGATTTGTGACTTCATTCATTTGACTAATCTACCTGATGACTCATGAAAAGAATAAGTAATGCTGATGACTACTCAACTTATAGAGAAAGTCTTCGTCTTTTTCTTGCTTTTTGTGATGTCAGCTATTATTCTTCTTGTTTTTAGCCACAGAAAATGGGTGCTACTGTAGAAATTGCCAGTTATAAGAAAGAAATAGACAGCATGAGAAAAGAAATGCAAATTGTAAGTGTGACTGTAACATAGTGTTCTCTTCATTTTGTAATACTCTACAGTACCTTAGTTTATCTTTTTGTAATGCAGGCATGTGATGATGGAAGTTTATCGACAAGAATTTTGAGTAAACCTCAAAGGATTAGTTCGAATCCTGTTGTGAACTATATCATTATACCGACTTCTTTTATCAACTTAACATTCATCTTAATTGATTAAAGATGGCTATTTAAATTTTAGAAGACTGAGATTAGTGAACAACGAACATATTTTCTCCGATAACTTTTTCGTAGAACTCTACAGATATATGCATTTATAGTAATTAAAGAATTATTCTTATTACCAGCATTAGCGTTATTTTACGTAACATTAAATCAATAGAATCAGAAGATTACAGTTAGGAAACATCTCTAAGTGATAATATGAGTCAGTATAACACTAATTTGAATACCAGATAAACTAGGAAAAAATTACAGAATTCATGAATTTATATATTCTACAGTTGCCCAAGGTAGCAATAGGGACTAGACGTATCTCTTTTGCACACACACTACCTATGTTGTTTCAAGCGAATTTCAGTGTCCTCTGTTGCACGGAGCGTTCGATATCTCGAGGCCTTTGGAAACTTATTCGATGCCTGTTAGATGATAGAAGAATGATTCTTTAATTCTCTATGGTCTGCTTATACAAGGTGGTCTAGTGTTAAACTGTTAATGTTTTTACTACACCTTTCTTTGGATAAAGTAGTAAGTATTCCCCAGCACAAAAATCGAAGTTCTTAGTGCAATGGCCAGTAAAACGTGCTCCTATAGAAAAGCTGATTTAATATATAAATGAAGAGGTAGTTGGTCTAGGTATTTCATCTTTGATTTTCGGAATTGGAACTGGTTGTGTGGAAAATGTAACCTGCAGCATCAAACGTATTTCAAATAGATTTTCTCAACTTGTTGACTATTATTTCACTTGGGACATCACTTTTGAAACTCAGTCATATACAAGCAGCCTTCTGGTTAATCGATGCAAAAGAATTCTTCTCAATACACTTGGTCATATATTTGAAAGAGTTAAAACGAAACAAAAAGGAAATTCATTGAAAACAAAAGGATCATTACCACGAGAGTAGAAGTGGCGGAAGAATTCTGTTTTGTATACAGAGCTTTGACCTCTCAACCTGAATGGCTAGAACTTTAGTAATGCAAAGAAGGCGAAAGAGTATTGCTCTACAGTTTGTAGAATAGAATGGCCAGTATCGACAAGGTGTTGATTTATCGTCTTCCTTACAGAACTGCTGCTATCTTATAGATTCACATGGCAGTCTAACTGGTACAAGTAGTTAACAGAGTGGAAGTGACATTTGATTGGTGAACTGGCATGCTAATTATCTGACACAATTAATAGTGAGTTCAGCTCAGGCACTCTGATCAAATAACTCACACTTGAAATCTACTTATTAGAATTTTCAGGGATTTTATCAACTTCAATGAAATATTGTGTCTATCGCCAATTCACATCATCCAGATGATTTGCCTTCCATATTTTAAAGTCTCCAGAAAATATCACTCCTCATATTGGCTATAAATTGAGCTCAAATTCGTAAGGTCTCATAATGTGAATAAGCTCTGCATGTAACTTGAAGTTCTAACTGATACTCTTTATTCGATTGCAAATTATGCCACTTGTAGATTCGTAATAATCTTACACAAGTTGAAAAAGTTCGAGAGAAACTAGCTAAAGAGAATAGAGAATTACAAGAAGAATTGAAATTAAGGGAAGATTCAATATTTGAACAAGATGACGAACTGGAGAGGCGTAATAGTGAAATACGCGCCCAAAAATCTTCGATTGAACAAATGAAACGAGAGGTAAACATTTTTGAGAAAAAACAGTATGCGACTGAATTGTTTTACTTTATTTTTAATTATTTATCATTTAGCTACATTGAGAAATCTTATAATAAAGCAAGACAGAATATGGTAGAATCCATTTTCCACAGGCTGCTGCTGACTTTCATCGTCACTTTCCTCTTCCCCTCTTTTATGAAGAGCAGATGGATAACCCGGAAGGATAGGTAACAAGGAACTCTAGCATGCACTGAAACAGTTAGAAACTCAGTGTCCAATAGATACGCAGAATGAAATGGAAATGGATCTGATATGCTCTGAAAAAACATTTGAGTGACGTCACACGCCAGTCTGTTGATTAGAACCCAAATGGGAAGTGACAAGATGGGCTTCAAATACTCACACACACACACACACAAATAGTCAAAACTTGTAGGCGATCTTGGACTAAACTGAAAGTGATGGCGGAGAACCAGGTACGCTGGGGACCTTCTGTTGAAGTCTGCTTTCCATCTGGAGAGCAGGAAATGAATATAATAGTTATTAGTAACATAGTTTTATCACCTTTCAGGTGATCTCTCCCACTGGAAATAGAACGAAATCGAAGTAAACAGATAGCTGTAAGTGTGTGATGTTTATTGTCTGGTTGATGATGTCCAGCAATCAAATACAGGATGTGCATTCCATAGTGCTTAGGATTCGTCAGTTGGAAGACACTTACAACAATAATTAACAATCTAAAATAAAGCATAAATAACATGAAGAATTTTGAAGCTATGTAACTCTAAATGTAATTCATATATATACCTATACACTGATCAATTAAAATACGGGTTTTTTAATAATCAACATTGAAGTAATTCTATCTATTGAATTGCTTAGCTACTAGCATCACTATCATGTGTCATATTTAAATTTTGTTAAGTGGTTAATGACAATTTACAAGCAGTCACACATGACTTGTAAGTAAGGAGTATTTGTGCAAAGCAGCATTCCCCAATGGAGCAGTTAAGTATGTTGCACCCAATTATTTATTAAAATTATTTTGGACTTTCTATTGTTTCCACTGGCCTGAAATGTCCTGTTTTTATTGAAATGTCAAGATCCTTAGACGTTTTAATAAATAACAGATGATACTTGTTCCACAAATAGTGGTTAACGTAGTAAGAAGGTGCAGTACATAACTTTTGTCGTTTCAAAAGAATGAATGCATGATCTCAACCTCACCGTAAATAGGATCACACAGTAAATTTCAAGTGCATCTGTGTGAAAAGTCCAAATTTAGAGGAAATGCACCTCATAAGTTCCACTGTTGATTATTTCTAATTAAAAAACATCATGATAAGGACAAAGTCAACAAAAAGTCAGCCTCTGTGACACGTTTTCTAGATTACTCACTAAGGTTATGGCTGTGAAGTAGCTGGATGGCCAAATTTCTGCTCTCATAACCTGAAGGTTATGGGTTCGGTCCGCGGTGAGGTGATTGGTGGGTGCACACTGGCGATGAGTTCCAGACAAGGATACAACAGTTGTCCAGTACTCATTGTTTTCCAAAGGTTCTCTAAGTGATGTCGTTTCGTGATCAAACTTGAAATAACTAAAGGTACAAAATATGTTACTAAAGACACTTCTATCTAGTATCATTGGCTAATCGTTATTTCCTAGTTTTAAATGATTCGCTAAATAATGTTGATTTTTAGCTAAATTTAATTTACTTAATCAGTGTAGCCATTCAACCTGAACACTAAGATATGTGTCATGACAATAATGAGTTATATTTAGTTAAGACATCTTTGTAAATTTAATACTTATTAAAAGTGGTGCCGATATCTCGTCAGTGCAAACCAAATGTTGCAAAAAATACGTTCGTGATTCCAGTTATGGTGTTCACTGTGTTGAAGGATTTTTTAGATAAAGTCTCTCATCTTAATTCTTAAAAATTGTTTCTCTCTTTGATTTTGTAAATAATTACAGTTGGAACAAACAAAATGTGATTTAGCACAAGCAAAAGCTGCAGAGATTAGTGGAGCGTCTGGTCGATTAAGTGCTAAAATTGCTGAAATTGAAAGATTACGAATGGAGTTGAGCACTGCGACCCAAGATTTAAAAGGTAAAAAAAATTGATTTTTATCCGTAAACTTCATTAGGAACACTAACACCGATGACTGGTTGCAAATGAGAAGAATGCTTTTTCGTGCTTCGTTTGTTATCACTTCATAAATTATTCGATTTCTTATTGAATACAGTTAAAAGTGGAGCTGAGGATATTCAAATTCAAATAGGTCGCTGGCATATTTTACCTCCCTCAAAGTAATTTAAGATGTTTTCATTGACTACTACAAAATCAATAAGTAGTTAAACACTCACTGAAATTTTATAGAAATTAAAAAGTCCACTTCACACGTTTGGAAAACACAATTAACTGAACGAAGAAATATATTCCCTTTTGAATACATTTCTCATCAAAGGCACTATATAAATATATTACAAAATATAAATATATTACAAAAAAGACTCAGCGGAGAAATATATTCCCATTCAAATAGATTTTCATCATCGGCTGAACACTAATAGTTTTTCACATTAAAAAGTTTAACAAATCAAGTGGTTATTTCAATTAATCGAATTTAGGTATAGGCGGCAGTGAAATCAAGAGGTTGAAGGTCATCAAAACCACGCGAGAGGTTAGGTGATATACAATAGACAACTTTAAAAGCTTTGTTACAGTCGATTTGATGTCCAGTATAGGTAAGATGAGATGCATATAGCTTTATTCGAACCCTTGCCAAACCAAGATGTGAAGTGTTCAGAAATTTGACGATGAACTTGCCTGATCGTACGCTCTATGCAACTAGCTCCACACTGGCAGTTAAACTGGTAAATACACATGGAAGAGGCGAAACAGGACAATCTGTCTTTACTTCTTGAACTAAGCATTGGTTGGTTAGTGAATGCATAGCATAGCTTAGCTGCATAGAAAGTCCTTTTGAAGGCACTTCTCAGACGTTGTGATGAGATCTCACTATTAACATCACCCGCGAATTTTAACTTTGGGAAGAGTGACTTGTTGTGAGCAGTTGGTAACTTTCTGGCAAAACTAGAGAATGATCCACTTAAAGATACAATATATAGTCTTCATTTCTATTGCCGATATGTTGAGGATACATTTATAGTTAGTTGTTAAGACAGAAAGTGAGGCTAGGAACATATTGGATAAATTCAAAGAGCACATCCCAGCATAAGCTTCACTAAGGAAGAAGAAGAAGAAAATGACTCTATCCTCTTTTCGGACGTCCTAATGGCTAAACGGACAGACGGAACAATATGTAGACGTTTCTACAGAAAACCTACATCCACTGGACAACATATTCACCTCCTGAGTTTCGTACCTCTATAATACAAACGTAATCTGGTTAAATTTCTGGTTCACCGGGCTAAAGTTATCTGTTCAAATGAGACACTGAACGAGGAACTCGGTAATATTCGCAATCTACTAAGTAGAAACTGATATCCAACTAAATTCGTAAACAAACACATGAACTCAGAAAGTAAAATGTTGAAGTTGTCGATTGTTCACAAAAAGTCAATCTTCCTAAGGTTAAAATTCGCGGGTGATGTTAATAGTGAGATCTCATCACAACGTCTGAGAAGTGCCTTCAAAAGGACTTTCTATGCAGCTAAGCTATGCTATGCATTCACTAACCAACCAATGCTTAGTTCAAGAAGTAAAGACAGATTGTCCTGTTTCGCCTCTTCCATGTGTATTTACCAGTTTAACTGCCAGTGTGGAGCTAGTTGCATAGAGCGTACGATCAGGCAAGTTCATCGTCAAATTTCTGAACACTTCACATCTTGGTTTGGCAAGGGTTCGAATAAAGCTATATGCATCTCATCTTACCTATACTGGACATCAAATCGACTGTAACAAAGCTTTTAAAGTTGTCTATTGTATATCACCTAACCTCTCGCATGGTCTACGAGTACGACGTTTACGCACAACAGAGGCTATCGGAATTCATCTGAACAAGAAATTTGTACAGCCCCTTTCTTTGCCATGGCCAACCACATATTATATATTAAGTTTTTTAAAACGATTTTTTCCCTCCCCTTGTAATTATCTTTCAACTTTGTTAATTTTACAATTTTTACAATTCTAGCGAATTCTATAAACTTGTTTGTATTTTACGTAGCTCTTCTGAGTCATCCTATTTTTCTTAGTCATCATTGCTACTTTACAAATTTGTTGATTATGTAATAACTTGTTGCCAACGACTAAGAATCAAATCATCTTGAATTCTGCAATTAATTTTCACCCCTCTTTTTAAACATAGATATCTTGTTACTAGTATCTCTTAGTTATTTGTTTTGATGAGCTTTAACCTCTTGATTCCACCGCTACCTATATTCGAACCTGATTAACTAAAATAACCAGTCGATTTTTAAAATATTTTGATGTAAAATCTATATATTAGTTTGGAGCCGATGATGAGAATCTATTGGAAGGGGAACATATTTCGTCACTCTATCTGTTTTTTTTCTAAATGCGGAAATGGGAATTTGGAAATTACTGAAATATGTTTCGATCTACACCGCAAATATGCCAGTCATGTGGTGATGTTAGTCAACAGTAATATCTTTTTAAGATATAGAAATGGTGGAACTAACAGATTAAAATTCACCATAAAAGTTAATTAGGAGAAGTTAGCAACAGAGAGGCGTCTGGAGTAAACACAGGAGTCAGACAAGAGTGCTTATTATCACCAATGATATTCCTAATGGTGGTGGACTGGATTATGCTTCAGACAGTGGGAAACGAGAAGACAGGGATATCCTGGACCGACGTGAAGAACCTAGAAGACCTGGATTTCGCGTATGATTTATGTTTGATGGCACACAAAATCGAAGACTTACAAGCGAAAACCGACAAACTGGTCGAAGAAGCAGCAAAGACAGGACTCCAGGCGAACATAGACAAGACGGAGGTTATGAAAATAACCAACCAACAACAACAACAACAGCAACATCCAGCGCCAATCACCAGCAACGGGAGGGATTTGAAACAGGTTACTTCATTCACTTATCTAGGGAGCATTGTCTCAACTACAGGAGGAACGGACGAGGATGTCAAATCGAGAATCGCGAAGGCGAGAAACACATTCATCAACCTGAAACCAATCTGGAAATCTTCGTCACTCAGCATCAACAACAAAATTCGGATTTTCAATAGAAACCTCAAGTCAATTCTTCTATACGGATCAGAAACTTGGCGGGTCACCAAGAATATTTCCAACAGGTTGCAGACATTTATCAACAACTGTCTTCGCTCTATACTCAAGATCAGATGGCCGGAAAGAATCACCAACAAGAAACTATGGGAACAAACAAAACAAGAACCAATCGCCCAACAAATATGCAGGAGGAAGTGGAGATGGATTGGACGCTCGCTGAGGAGACCGCTGGATGACATCGCGCGTCAGGCCCTCGAGTGCAACCCGAAAGGGAAGCGGCGAGTGGGACGTCAGTGCAAGGGTGACATGGAGGAGATCGTGTGAAGAGGAGCTGAAGCAGTATGGACTAACATGGATGCAGGTGAAAAGTAGAGCAGAAGACAGTAACAAGTGGAGACGTGCAGTTGAATCCCTATGTTCCACTAGGAACTCAAGGGAACAATAATAATAATATAATAGCAACAGATGGTCAATAAGCATTATAAATTTCGATGTACAGAAGGGTGGAAATGGATGTGGAATTCAAAATGAGTGAATTTGTTTGAAGAGAGAAAGAACGAACATGTTTGCAGGATAATACGAGCTCGTTTTATTTCGTGGATTCTCATCAACTGCATACATCTTTTTCATAAGTACTTTGAGTTATAGATAGAAGTCATAAGGAACATAATTCCAGAATTTGATGTGGGTAGGTAAGGAATTATGTTCCTTATGCCTTCTATTTATAACTCAAAGTACTTATGAAAAAGATGTATGCAGTTGATGAGAATCCACGAAATAAAACGAGCTCGTATTATCCTGCAAACATGTTCGTTCTTTCTCCCTTCAAACTAATAAAGGGAACCGGTTGAAGGAATTTGTATCGGATCACAGTAACTAATTACACAATCAATAATTTGTAAAATAATGATGAATGAAAGGAACAAAAGAGTTATAGTTAAAGCAGTAGGGAAAAAAGTTTGTAGGACTTTATACATATTATGTAGACGGTCATGGCATAGAGAGGGACTACAAAATTTCCTTTTGAACACACAGATTTGGCTTATTGGAATGAACTGCAATTGCTTCTGCATTATGTAAATGTTGTACTCGTAGAGCGTGCGAAAGGTTGGGTGGAATTCTATAAATAATTATAAAAGTTTTGTTGCTATCAGTGTGACGTTCTGTATCCATGAGATCAGCTAGTATTGAGTTACGTATAGATTTATTCAGTTCTTTACCTAGCCAGAATGGGTGGCGTCCAGAAAATCGACGATGAACTTGAACAATGGAAATGGAAAAGAAGAAATGTCTTCAATCAAAATAATTCACAAATTACAACTAGAATTGTTTGTTTAACCACAGAATATGACTAAAGTAAAACTTTTTATTGACTGTAGGTGTTGCGAGACTTTTTTTATGGACTTGGGCAAATCACTTTGTTTGCGTCAATTTTTATTCCCTCTTTGATTGACTGGATCGAAATGTTTAGCTTCCGCTGACATGTCGGCTCCTAGTACAGACTCTTCGGAGCTAGCTGAGAATTAACATGATGTCTATATTAAGAGTCAACATGTCAGCATAGCAGAATATTTTGGTCCAATCAGTCAAGGGAAATATACAGAATTTACCTGCACATGAGGCAGCTGTCATTGCCCATGTGGTCCACTGGATAATGCTATGGCGTTTGAAACGAAAGTCATCGTGTTGGTGTCTCAGTTAGGGGAAATACTATCACTGACTCGGGTCTGCAGGCACATACAGCTAACGAGTCCCGAATAGAACGAAATGCGCATCCTATATTCCGCTGCTAGTTACCATCCACTAAATAACATCGAGTAGATAGCACTTTGCATCAAGTCAGAAAACTTATACACTCTCATGAAAATCTTGACTATGTCATTTAGGCTTCGTACCATTCATATGATAACTCTTTATTACATTTAGCATTGTCTGATATCAGATTTAAAACTATCTTATTTTTAAACCATAATAGAAACTAAAGCCAGTCAAGAGGAGTGGAAAAGAATTGCAACTCAAAATGAAGATACAATGAAACATCTTGGCAATGAAATTATACAATTACGTAATGCAATAGTTGACAAGGACAAAATGCTAACTGAATTACATGCTTATTTAAGAGAATCACGACAGAATACAGAGAATATTAAACAACAATGTGAAAATGCAGAAAAAAAATGTGCTGAGGCAGAGAAACGAATGGAAGAATTAAAAGAAAGGTAACTAACTGAGTGAATGAATACAATTACCTTGATTGGTAAATATACACATATATTGTTAGAATGGTGAATTAGTTTACTCTAATGATTTGATTACTGCTAGACACTTCCTCGTAGCGATTCGTATACTTTTGGTGGAGTAGTGTCCTCTGAAATGGTAGGTTTAATTGGTATTATTATTTCTCTGAATTCAGAGGGGAACATAGGGCTTCACCAGAACATCACCATTTCATCATATTTTCTGCATTCCTCTTTAACTGGCCCCAGGATTGTTTATAAGCTGTCATCTCCTCCTCCTACGGTCTCCCCTATATTACCCTCAGGATACATAATCAGCTGGTTGTTTCCCATATGAGTTCTACTCGGAGACTTAGCTCGTCATGTTCCTCAATTGTATCTTCAGCTTATGCGCTAGCCAATTCTATTTTCTTCGGTATATTTGTCAGACAGTAAATTCTTGGTTAGTTAGTTCACAAAGTTCCTTGCTGCTTATCCTTTCTAAGAGGTATTCTGATTTTCAGTATCGAGCTCAAGCAACTGCTGGTAGAAGTCTGAAGTCTGTTCGAGATGCCATTCACGGCACATCGTTTTTAAAACATACAGAAGCACTGACTTGATATTAATGCTGAAAATCCGAATCTTCATGCTGAATGCAGTGGGTTTCCGCGCTGATTTCAGAATAATGATCTGTCTGGCTTTTTCGATCGTGCGACTTAAAGGAATAAACTTAAAGTTATCTTAGCTCATTCAGTTTGGCAGAATTAACTCCATAGTATAACAGAGTATGTCATTCAGAAATTAATCATTTGGTAAGCCGTTTAAAGCAGAGTTAAGGACCGATTGACTGCAAACTTTTAATATTGAACATTATTCACAGCTGGCGGTTATTTTATTTTGCTGAATAATCAGTCTTTTTAGCCTCTGTTCAACGGGCTTTAAATTAAAGTTACCTAACTTAATATCCAGTAGATATATATCACACATATCACTGAGTGGTTTAAATTAATAATGACTACTATTAAGGCATCTTAGCATACTTAAAATATACACACGATGTTGATTATTATTTTCTCATACTATGGATTGGATACATCAGCGTAAATGTGAATACATTACTGTTTAATACTCGATTTACTTAAGTTTAGTGAATGGTGAATGATAACCAGTGTATCTGTTCATCTGATAATTTATAAATTGTATTCCGCATCTGATAAATAAGAACTTTTATGTAGATCTTTCACTAATCAGTATCAGTTAGACAGACTTCGGAGAAGCGAAAATCCCTACAACCTAAAGTTTATTTGTTGATTTCTTGCTCAACATTGACTACAGAATCGATGTACTAAAATTTCAGGGAGAAGTAATGCACAATAGTGAGCACTACAATGTTGAGTGCTGCGCAGAGGTTTATCGATGGCGTTGATTGCCAATAGTGTTATATCATAAATTAGTGCAATTTAGAATGCATGGGACTTTCGGTTCCAGCCCGATGGCTGAATAGTCAACGGACTCAGCTTGTAACCAGAGGGTCCTAAATTCGATCCATTGTATGCCCAGTGGTGCATACCGCTGAAGAGTCTCGAAATAGGACCACTCATCCAGTGATTTATCGTTTTAGGTGGTTCTCTAAATGATGTTCATCTGTGACCAGGTCAACGTGAGATCAGTCAAGAATTTTTACACAGGCAAAATAAGAAATACATTTTTCGATTTTAGGAGTACCTATAGTCTCTAAGGTTAATCAAGTTGACGATGAAGAGATTAACTATCCACTGATGAATAAGATGACTTTAAACATAAATGGACTTCAGACGAATGATAAGCGTCTTCCTCGTCCTTATCTGATGTCCTTTCGATTAGAACTCATTCAGTTGCAGTAGATGGATACCTGGTAAGCAGTCTGGTTTCGCAGGTCTATCATTAGAGTACCCGGCCGATAAGCTGGAGGCTGCTAACTTGTGTCGTGTTGAGACTTTCAATTCTCACCCATCACGATTCCACATGATTGATTAACTCGATCACATATGAGGTAAATACTGTGAAATCGCAGAATGTAATCACAGAAATACATGCCAGGTGATTTTTTCTTCACCCAGTAGTCCAGTATTGTATCAATTCAGCACTTCAAATAACATTTTCTCCTAACTTCCAATCCTAATAGAAATAACGTCGTGCACGTGAATGCAAGTGAATGTTAACTATATAGGCGTACAGAACAAGAAAGACACTATGAATGCCACTTTTATTTGACAATGAACCAGACAGTATGATGTTGTGCTCAACAGTTTTTTAATTTCATTCTGTTATCATTCAAATCCTCGTTACTTTTTTCATTTTGAACAGATTACTGACTAAAGAACAGGAATTAAAAAACCTAAGAAAACGTATGGAAGAAGCAGTCAGTGCCACTGGCAATAACAATCGTGATTTAAATCAAGATTGTACCGTCACCAGTAATCGAGATTTACTGCTAAATCGACGCGGTTTTGAAGTGGATAAGCTTAGAAGAGAATTATCATTAACAAAAAGAGAAAAAGATGATTTATATACCGAGTTAAAGAAATTACGATGTAAACTGGATAAAAGGCACATGTCTGAAGAACGCAGTAGAAAGGTAAGTGCTAGTTATTATTATTATTATTAATATACGTTAAAATGATAATCGGTTTAAGTTCATTTGCATTCCCTGTTGTTTAATTGTACTGGAGTAGAATGCTCGAAGTCTTCTCACATGTTTGCTCCTAGTATGGACGCTTAGTAGACTAAAATGATTGGCTAGCAGTAGAATCCAGAATGTACATTTCATCTTATTTGAGACTCGTCATCCGGACATATCCAATCTTTAGTGGGTAATGATGTTTCTACTGAGGACACAAACCTTCTGGAAGAGAGATGAGTCTGACAGCCTAGTGACCTAATGGAGCTTGAAACAATAGTTACTGGTTTCGAATTCCGGAGGGAACACCATAAGTCAGTCTTGGTGCAGGTGCATCCAGATGATGAATCCCAGATGGGTCGAGACGTGCATCCATATCTTTCAGATGCGCTCAAATTTAACTGAGATTATAAATTCTTATAAATACGATCCATCATGTTGGCCTATGAATTGAATGTTGCGTAGCCAGTATTTGAGACTGATAGTTACAACTGACAAATAAGATAGTGACTTTTGACGGACTTGTTTCATTTGGTGTCTTTAAGTTTCTTGAAACCTGTAGTTTCCTTATCATGACGTAATAAGTTGTTAGACTGTGGTTTTTTAAATGTCCTGGTTGTATGCTTCTGTATAAATGGATTCTCACATTAAAGTGAACATGGGTTTCACCGCTAATAAACCTACCCGATAAAGCTTTTACTGAGCAAGTTGATTTTAGAACGCATTGAGTCCTGTGTCACGAGGTGGTTGTCTTTCTGTTTTTCAGTTAGGAAACAACACATTGTTTTTATTGAGAAGCACTCCGCTCCTTTGTTTATGGAAGCTGGTGGGTCTCAAGGTGCTGTATTTTCTCCATTTCCTTTCTTTCCTTTCTTCAGGACTTACCGTATATCCCTCTGAAGCTAATTACATTTAATCATAGGGAATAAATAGACAGTTGCAGCGAAGAAAATTTCCTTTTCGACGAAGTCATCATCTAGGCTGTACATTCGTGTATTTATATCAAATGGATAGGAAAGTTCCGGAAATTATTATCCAAGTGACATCAACTCATGAATAAACTTGTAACCAATCAAATTCCTGCAAATGAACACGTGACAGACTAAATTCAGTAGGAATAAAGCTAATCACACTTGCGTAACTAGTGAGTAAAGAAAGAACAAACTGAATGTCGTTAAAAACAAGCTGAAAGGGTGTGACAGCATGACCTTTGGGTGATCAGGTCGTCAATAATCTAAATGACTTTTAGAAGTTGAAGTTGAACTTCGACTAAAACGTCTGTATGACTGATAATGATCATCAGGAATAAGAGCTTTTTAAGTGCGTTTAAGATGAGGCTGAGACTGATTCATCCATTGTCTTAATAGTCTATACTTAGGATGACCTTGATTATAATGTTGTGAATATGTTTTAGAATTCAACCCATGCTTTCTGTTGAAACACTCTATGTGTAGAAACTTTTTCATTGTTGAAAGGTGAGGCTTCATCTTTGAGGTTAAACTTATTCCCCTTTATGGATATGAACAGAGCAAAAACATAAAGAATTTGTGCTGAATAAGATGCTATCATCGTTTATTTCATCAGCTTCTCATTAGCAGCATACAGCCTAAAGAAATAAGTACGTTTATACACAGGACAATTTTAACATGATTGCAAATGTGACATGACGTCAGTTGACAGGAGACTCAAAACTTAATAAATAGTCCTCGGAAATTACAATTACATAGCTTATATACAGAAAGTTCAAATTTAAAAAAAGTAAATGCTTACAAATGAGTTGCACGAAAAAAAAGTAGATGGATAAGATGATAAGTAACTAATAAACTGAGTAACAATATGGTAATTTCAACTCAAATCGTAGAAACGAAAGATGAACAAAATTACATTATAAAGAAAAAAGAAGAGGTTAAAGACAAAGATAAGCAGGTCAGGAAAGGCCGATAACTGCTACTGGTGAAATCAAATTATCATAGCCAAAGTCAAGGTCTTTGAAAAGTTGTCCTTCAAGGACCGATCAGACACAGGAATGATATGAAATGTCATTCCAAATCAAATGATGCCTGCATTTTGGACTTGAAGAGGATAGATACAGTTTCTACTCATTTACTACGTACTTATTCTGAGGTTATGGCATTTAAGACCAAGGTTCAGGATATGTTTAGGATTAAAGTTAGGATTCGAAGTTAAGATTACGGTTAGAGTTACGAGTAGGTTGAAGAACAGTGTCAGAAATGCCAATGGGTCTCAAAGTACCATAACCTGCAGTCACTTGGATGAATGGGTATATCGCGCATATACGATTTCTTTATAGATCATCGGTGTATTGACTGGGAAACATTCTTATAACACATAATGTAAAACGATGTTTCCAATACTTTTTAGTGTCTTTGTCAACGCATTCAGACTTTTCTGCATCTGAATTCTGATTGCTTGTTCAGGGTTACTATGGTTTTGGCTATGATAGTTTAACTTTTCCCTGCTAGTTATTGAATACATACGCTGGGTTTCAAGTGTTTAGTAGCAATTCGGTCGGCAAACTGGTATAGAACTGATTTCTGTTGTCTGTTGATAATTTCGAAGGATTTCAGGACATTCATCTAATGACCTGTATCGACGAGATGACTGGCAGTGGCATTACTGGAAGAGTTTGTCACATGCTGAAATTAGATCTCAACAGGCTTATACCTAATATACGTAAACTTACAAATAAATATTAAAATATTAACCAATCACGGTGTTTTTTCAATAAGATAAGAAGATTGTGCATACAGATTGTACAATTAGTCAGAATAATAATACCAGTACTAATAATAATGATCCTTTCAATAACAAAGATGGAAAGGTGGAGCGATCTGTGATAAGAAGAATAATGAAAACTGCATAATTAGACGAATAAATGTTTTGGTAGAAGCAGTCAATAAAGGCTAAGAAAAAGCAAATGGTTCGATTAAGTAAAGCTTAATTTTAATTGAAGTAAATAAACTGAATTTTAATGAGGGTATGTTGAGATTGAGGGGTGGTAAGAGAGGGATTGCAAATATCAGTAATGGGTGGTGGTGACATCATCATCTGGTTAGGTTTTAATAGACTAAGGGATGGATAATGGTTTTAAGAACTTCTTTTAATGCATAGTTTACGCTTTATAGTTCGAATGCCTATCACCTCAGCTATGTGCAGTAGATAATAACGAAGTCATTGGAAAGATTCCCTGGCATGCGATGAATTACCTTGAATATTTTCCTTCTCCCCATTAAATGTGGCAAAATGGGGCTGCGGATAGTTTTTTCTGTCGTTTGCCGAACCACAATGGGAAATGTTCTGTAAAACGTTAGCCGAGCTTTCTATAAGTACGCCCACTGTATCTGTAATCCAAGATGCAGTTGAACTTATAGATATACATAGATATGGCAGAACTGTCTAGCTTATCCTTCGTTTGCGTCCCAATCATTCGTCAGCTAGAGAATGATAAACGTAAAACGTTCTTCGTATACTCTCTCGAATAAAATCTCACTTGGCATGTCACCATTAAAATGTAACTCAATAAAGAGAGATTTTTGACGTGCAGTCATAGTCTCAGGTTTCCTCTCCAATGTTTTCACGTTTTTTTATGAAACTACTCGGAATCATAAATATATTCAAATTCCTTCTGTAATTGGTTATCCGTACATATCTTTCTGGCTCTACTCGCTAGACACTTAACAACTTTTATTTTATATTTAAAGGGTACGTAACTAAGGAAGTGTGTATTGCCCTGTGAATGTGCTCCTCCCAAGTGACCCATCTTCTTGCTTACTTAGCAAGACATCCAGAAAATATAGTTTATTATACTGCTTCTCTTCACAAGTAAAAGTAAGCGAAGAATGGAATTTGTTGAATTTCATCCACAGTTCATTTATGTTTGCATTCCCAGTAACTGAGATGTAGCATTGACATAACAGTAATACATATCCAACTCATCAATGACGTCTTTCAATTTCCCGTTTTCAAGTTTTGCGCAGAAGAAGTCAGCTAATATCCTGCCAAGTGATAAATCCACAGTGATTTCACCTACTTGTTGGTAATATGAATTACTGAAGACGAAATGCACATTCATTGTACATTTAAGGAGTAGTTCTTTGAGACCACATAAGGGAATTCCTAGGTCTGTTTACCTTTTGGGTGACTTTCTGGCAAATTTAATCTACCGTTTTGGCCAGTGGTACAGTCATGAGTAGTGATAACTCAGACAGACCTTTATCACTAACATTAGTCCCGGATACTTAAGAAATGGATTCGAAGACATCACTCACTCCATATTGCATAATTTCTTGGTGCAAAGATCCCAGGTTCTTCACCAGCCACTTTGCTGTTCCGTGAAATAGCAAGTTATACGTATCTAAAACTGGGCGAAGAGGAAGACCAGGTTTGTGCACTTTGGATAGACTGTAAGGACGTGGAGTATTGGTCCCTATCTTTGTTTCATAGACACACCCGTGGCTGACGATAATATTCCTTTTTGATTCAGTTTCTTAAGAGAATCTATATTTAGATTCTTCGCTATTACAGTGAGGTCTTTGGAATTTAGTTTGATCATTCAAAGTACCTTTCATTTTCTCAAAGTAATCACCCTTGTCTAATAACACTATACCGTCACCTTTATCTGGCTTGCCCATAATTAAGCTTTCATAACTTCTAAATTTTCTCAGAGCTTCCCTGTGTTGCTTGGATAACAGACTATTTACTGATTGTGTATTATTTTCGTACCGTTAGCAGCCATCAACTAGCATAGTTTTGAGCCTACTTAGTTATTGTCCGATAATGGGATTCAGTAGGACGTTTGTGAATACATATTTTCAAGATGAATACTTGTGTCGGTCCATTTGATTTCCTGATCCATTATTGACTACTTCTACCAAAACATTTATTCGTCTAATTATGCAGTTTTCATTATTCTTCTTATCACAGATCGCTCCACCTTTCCATCTTTGTTATTGAAAGGATCATTATTATTAGTACTGGTATTATTATTCTGACTAATTGTACAATCTGTATGCACAACCTTCCTATCTTGTTGTCAAAACATGCTGAAAGTTTCTTGCATATAAGCTTAATATTTTCCTTACTCTGTACTAAGCTGATTAGAGATCGACAAATAAACTACTGCACCATCATCTTACTCTACACAAAATCTCGTTTTTGTCTTGAATTACTAGGTAAGAAATTTTAGACCTATGTTTTGTACTTACTAACACTCGTGTACATGGCATATCTTCAATTTCGCATGAAGCGGTTTTGAATTTCTGTACAGATTTCAAGTGTTCATTGCTAATTAGTGCGGAAAGTTCCCTTGCATCCTCATTTCCACAAAACCTTTGTAACTGCCTTACTTTTGATTCTTTATTCCATTTTAGGATATAACAAGTTATTTGTCAAATTTAAACATGGGTAACACATATGCAAAAGCAATTGCAGCTCAACAGCCTACAACAAAAATTAATCTACTCAATGAACATATCAGTGTGTTAAATCGTACAAATGCTGAATTAAAAGTACAGAATGAATCATTACATAATAATGTAATTGATTATCAACGACGTTATCGTAGTATTAAAGAACAATATGAAGGTGAACAAGAAGCTTGGTTAACTGAAAGACTTGTTCTTGAATCAAAAGCAAAAGAAGTAAGTGTATGTAAATGAAAAAGAGTATATCATTTGAGCGTAATAGAAACCAAGAATCTTCCTACAAACATTTATGATTATTGTTCCCTTGAGTTCCTAGTGGAACATAGGGATTCAACTGCACGTCTCCACTTGTTACTGTCTTCTGCTCTACTTTTCACCTGCATCCATGTTAGTCCATACTGCTTCAGCTCCTCTTCACACGATCTCCTCCATGTCACCCTTGCACTGACGTCCCACTCGCCGCTTCCCTTTCGGGTTGCACTCGAGGGCCTGACGCGCGATGTCATCCAGCGGTCTCCTCAGCGAGCGTCCAATCCATCTCCACTTCCTCCTGCATATTTGTTGGGCGATTGGTTCTTGTTTTGTTTGTTCCCATAGTTTCTTGTTGGTGATTCTTTCCGGCCATCTGATCTTGAGTATAGAGCGAAGACAGTTGTTGATAAATGTCTGCAACCTGTTGGAAATATTCTTGGTGACCCGCCAAGTTTCTGATCCGTATAGAAGAATTGACTTGAGGTTTCTATTGAAAATCCGAATTTTGTTGTTGATGCTGAGTGACGAAGATTTCCAGATTGGTTTCAGGTTGATGAATGTGTTTCTCGCCTTCGCGATTCTCGATTTGACATCCTCGTCCGTTCCTCCTGTAGTTGAGACAATGCTCCCTAGATAAGTGAATGAAGTAACCTGTTTCAAATCCCTCCCGTTGCTGGTGATTGGCGCTGGATGTTGCTGTTGTTGTTGTTGTTGGTTGGTTATTTTCATAACCTCCGTCTTGTCTATGTTCGCCTGGAGTCCTGTCTTTGCTGCTTCTTCGACCAGTTTGTCGGTTTTCGCTTGTAAGTCTTCGATTTTGTGTGCCATCAAACATAAATCATACGCAAAATCCAGGTCTTCTAGGTTCTTCACGTCGGTCCAGGATATCCCTGTCTTCTCGTTTCCCACTGTCTGAAGCATAATCCAGTCCACCACCATTAGGAATATCATTGGTGATAATAAGCACTCTTGTCTGACTCCTGTGTTTACTCCAAACGCCTCGCTGAGTTTTCCTTTGTGGATCACTTGACATGTGCCTTTGTCGTACAACTGTTGAATAAGGTTGATGAATATTTGGGGTACGCCGTAGTACTCGAGTAGTTTCCAAATTACTTCGCGGTCAACGCTGTCGAAGGCCTTCTCAAAGTCTATAAAGTTGAGGTAGAGGTTTGATTGCCATTCCATGCTTTGTTCGATGATGATGCGTAGAGTTGCAATTTGGTCAGAACATGATCTGCCTTTCCTAAAATCAGCTTGTTCTGGTCGGAGTTCTGTATCCAGTGCGTCCTTTATTCTCTCCAGGATGATGCGAATCAGAATTTTACTTGGCGTCGACAGGAGCATGATTCCTCGCCAGTTCTTGCAGAGTCCTAAGTCTCCCTTCTTTGGTAGTTTCACAAGGTAACCTTTCCTCCAGTCAGTAGGCACCTTTCCCTCCTTCCAGACCTTTTGCAATAATGGAGTCAGTCTACCTGCTGTCGTCTCTGGGTCCGCTTTCAGTGCTTCAGGGGGTATTCCATCTGGTCCAGCTGCTTTTCCAGCTTTCAGAAGCTTGATTGCATTCAAGACTTCAGCTTTCGTTGGAGGATCGGTGTCAACTTGCAGTTGTGTACGTGCTGTTGTTGGTATTTCTGGACGGGTTGCAGGTGGTGGTCGGTTCAAGAGTTTTTGAAGTGGTCCGCCCATTGTTTAATCTGTCTTTCTTCCTTGGTAATTGGGTTCCCTTGGCTGTCTTTTATAGGTTTCACTTGAGCTGATCTCTTCCCGGATAGAGACTTGGTTATCTGGTATAATGTCCTCAGGTCCCTTTTGCCTGCAGCCTTCTCAGCCTCAGTGGCCAGGTTGTCGTAGAATTGTCTTTTGTCCTTCCTGGCACTCTTCTTCACTTCTTTGTCCAGTGCTGTGTGAGTTGACCTCAGCATCTCTTTCTCTTGTCCATCTTTGCATTGAATCATTTTCTCTTTCACCATTTTCCTCTCCTCTATTAGCTTCCAAGTGTCCGTTGAGAGCTATTCCTTATCTTGTCTCCTCTTTCTTCCGAAAACCGTTGAACACGTTGCAGTGAAAGTGTCTTTGTGGTTGTGTCCTTCAGGTTTTGCGTGTTGAACTTGCATTGTGGTCTATCCCCAGCTATCCTCGAGGCTTTTAGCTTCACCTTGAAAGTCCCTTGTACTAGATGGTGGTCTGAACCCACATCTGCTCCTCTCCTCGACTTTGTGTCCAATAGGCTGCGTCTCCACTTCCTTGAGATTGAAATGAAGTCTATCTGGTTTTTGGTGTGTCCATCTGGTGAAATCCATGTCGCCTTGTGTATATCCTTGTGTTTGAACACACTGCCACCAATCACCAAATCATTGAAGGCGCAGAAGTCTGAGAAGAGTTCACCATTGTCGTTCATTTCAACGAGGGCCTCGCGACCCATGGTGAGTTCTCTTCCTGTATTGTCTCCTCCCAGCCTCGCATTCATATCACCCATCAGGATTTTGATATCGCCATTTGGGACGTTGTCCATTACTGCTTGTAGTTGTCTGTAGAAGGCCTCCTTCTTCTCTTGTTCTGAGACGTTTGTAGGCACATAGCATTGAATGATTGTAACCTTCCTTCCTTTTTAGTTGAACCTGGCTGTCATTATCCTGGAGGAGATTGGTTCCCACTGCATGAGAGATTTAGCTGCTGTTGTTGACATCATGATGGCTACTCCCTAGGTGTGCTCGTGATTGTCCTGTGGGTGACCGGAGTAGATTATTGTCTCTCCAGTTGGCAGTTGGCTCCTTCCACATCCGTTCCATCTGCTTTCGCAGATTCACAACACTTCTATTTTATATCTCCTCATTTCTGCGGCTACCTGAGCAGCCTTTCCAGTTTCGTACATTGTACGAATATTCCACGTTCCCATCCTTATTTTTGCTTTCATCGAAAGAAGGCACATCGGCTGACTGGCTTCTCGAAGGCTTTCACCAGCCTGCGTCATTTCACTTCCCCGATTCCAGCGAAAAATAAGGTTATTGTTTATATTTTTAGAATTTTTAATATATTTGTGCGTTGAAGTTTCTGTAGCGATTTGGTTAAGTTTTGGGGGGTGGAGTTGGTAGCACCACGCCTCAATCCTCCCTCTTTATCCGGGCTTGAGACCGGCTAGAAAACTAGTGAGCTAGTAATCTAGGCGAGGTTCTCCAAACTTTTAGAATTCAGAATGAATACCTTACACTATTTTTTTATCAGAAAACATTACTGACACTATACAAAGACTCAGACTAGTTAAGTAATCTTAGCTTAGTAAATTAAAGTGTGATATGTGTGCTGAAATTCACAGTAGTTAAACTTAGACAAAAGTGTGAAGAACGCTATTTATTGCATCTATGCCTTACTATCTTAAGTATCTTGAAACTCCGTGCTGATTCCCATAAAAGAATTCAAAAGAGACACCCTAGACAGCTCCTGCTGGTTCTGTTCCAAGAAAAGCAGTCGTTTTCATGAGGGTTAGGTCATAGTTGTATGAATTAGTTTTGGAATTACTAAAGTTGTCCATGTGGTGTTTTTGATCTAGGGAACTATAACTAATTTAATGAGCCATCCAGGGTTTCGTGGAGTTGAGGTATCTACTTAAACATACATAGCCTAATCTCTAAGACAAGCGTCTGACTACTGGTAAAATGAAAGGAAATAGCGACCTGTTAAGTTATTCAAAAAACATAGGACTATGAGCGAACTAATATTTGGATACATTTATTCTAATGTAGTTGGATAGCCTAGCAACATGCCTCTTGCTTTCAGTCCTACTGGCAGGATCAACCAGTCAACTTACACATTATTACATTTATTGACTGGGTATTTATACAATGATTTTCTAAAGAAACGAAAACACTCATTCCAGTTTCATGCAAGACCGAAACAGTACGCACAACTACTCAGGAAGCCTCTATTTAAGTGGGCCATATGCAGCATTAGTACAAATATAAATGTATACGCAAGCATAGTTACTCCGGTTAGTGGTCGCGCCAATCAGTTATGCACTGCAGAGGCAAGCCTAATAGAACTCATTTCGCATACAAGACTAGCCCAACGCTTTTATATAGGCAAGAGTAGCACGCATAGGAAAGCTCCAGTTTTCAGGCTTCTATAAACGAAGCTATCGCTCCCCGAATTAAATAAATCCGTTATCCCTGCCAACCAATTTAGCATATGAATAGCTTCAGTACGTCTGAGATGACTAATGAAAACCATTCAAGGTCACATCAGTGAGTATGAGAATGGTATAACCCATGTCCAAGCTTTCTATATTGCCTCTGCTATATTTACTATAGCATATACGGACAGTAAGCAAGGTAGTCTAACTTCGTGTTAACAGGTCCAAACAAGCTTAAAATCATGCTTTCATTATCATGGAGGCATTTCAGCAATTTTCGTTGATACGGCTTTTTGGACTCTGAGTTAAGGGTAGTATATATATATATATATATATATATATATAATTGTACAGCTTGAGAATGAAAACACTGGAAACTGTGACTTCTCGGTAAATGACTCCTATTTTAAATTTCTTTCCTAATCTATTCTCGAATTCATCAAAAAATCAAAGAGAAGGTGGCATTGTTGCTAGCAATAATGTATGTGTGTATTTATATGCCATTTCATTTGCTCCTTTAGAGCTAAGTGCACACAGCGCACTATTAACGAATTGTTGAAACGTACTAGTGAACATTTAGAATTAGATAGCATGTCAACCAACAGCCAATAAATTCCATATTAGTTTGTTTATTAGATATATCACACAGTGTTTGTTCAAAATTTTGTTCGAAACGTCATCTAGTAAATAAAACTGTTTCACTGTGTGATATATCTAATAAACAAACTAATATGGAATTACTTACTACCACACTGCCCAAGTTTTACACATATATTAACAGCCAAAAAATTTCATTCAAAGTAATACCTAAATAAGATGTAATGAAGTACCATAAATGAAAAAGCACTTAAATGCCTCCTTTATACAACGAGAAAACATGTTATCGAAGAAAACAGTATACTCGAAAGCTTGTTTTTTTCCTGTTACATAAAAAATACTGACTAGCAATATGTCTTCTGTCCATCTTACTACTTATGATGAAACGTCTGAGGATAATTCACTTTCTATTTAAGTTAATAAGAATGATTACACAACATCTCATTGAATTCATTTATTTATTTATTCAATGATTTCGCCATTTAGCAAGAAGATCGTAAGACAGCACTGACAAATACTCGAAAATTACTCCAAGATACAAGTGTTAAATTATTCGATTTAGAAAGGGAAAGTGAAAAGAAACTTATTAACTTACAATCAGCCTACGAAAAATTGGAAAAAGAGAAACAAACAATTGAGGTGAGTTCTTTTACCTGTTTTTCAGTGATTTGTGACTTTTTAGGAGCTGGCACTGTTGAATATTCGTAGAATCCAACAGAAACTTTAATCTTTTTTTCGTCACATTAGAGTGCTCTATTCCTCATTTTCAAGCATCTTTCAGTTTTGTAATAATAGAGAAAATATTTTTTAACTCATGTAGACGTTCTTAGTATTTTTTGTTTTCTGAGACAGATGGTTGCATTTTATAAAGCACCTACTTTCCTTTAGGATAGAATCTTCATCCGTAACCTCAGAAGATTCTTCACGAATGAAATATCCATCATTCCTGGTGACCACGACTGTGATTTTCTATTCGGAGAGTTTTTCTTATGATTGTAGTAATTTAAATAAGCGCATAAGATATTTAAAACAAGAATAATTTGAAAGAACAGGAGTTTTAAATAACTTCTTCAGATTCTACAGTTACAAATCCATTACTGATACAATACAATAACCGGTAAAGAGAAGCCAAAATTAACTCAGAAATTAAATTGGGGTACAAGTACACGATGGAGTTATAGTCTGTTGGTTGAGATTGTCAATTAAATGCACATAAAATGGAAAGTCACTAAGAATATGGGATAAAATAAGATCCGACAACTTAGCGATGTTGTCTTTCAATCATCAAGAAAAGTATGTTTCAGGCAATGAAATGCATTCGGTGCCGTAGGAGAAATATATGAACAAACAAATGGGATACAGTGAATGCAAGTCCGATGATTGACAAATAGCAAAAATAATGATACAATGCAGTGGTCATATATTAAACAGACATAGAATAAGAGGTTAATTGGTGGATGCTGACTAGCAATGGAATCCAGGATGCGCATTTCGTCCTATTTGGGACTCGTCACTGGATGTGCCTGAGACCGATCACTTCGATCCAATCAATAGACGGGAAAATCTAAAATTCAATTAAATAGACAAAGAATAAGCTTAGTGTGAGTCCGAATGATGAAGAATAATAATATGATGCAAACTAGATGGAAAAGATCATTAGTGTAAGTGTAGAACTTGGGTACTGTTGTAGAATATAATTCCGTCTTAAGTAAGTTCTTTTTAAATATCACACAGCGATGCAGTATTAACAATTGGATGTCATTTTGAGTGTAAATTATTGTTCATAATCATATCAGTTTTAGTCATATGGTTTCACAATATGTCTTATATATATTTTCTCTCTTTCTCTGTCTCTTTCCAACCTCCTTTTGTTGTTTGTTGCCACTTTCTATATCTCCGGTATAGACGTTGCGTCATTCCGATTGCACGTGTGCGGTGTTGAATCGATAAACAAAGCTTCAGTGATTAACCTCTCTTTGTCTCCACCTAACTATATTACTTTTTCACACTCTCACCCTGTCCCACCCTATTTTGTCATTACTTGCAAGTGAATACAGTGCACTGCGATGACGGAACTTTTTCCAGGTTATTGATCTAATATAGATGAAAAGGAGTTGGTAGGATGGAAAAAGATAGGTAAATATGACATGATTCTACTCATGATGACCTCGCGTCAGGTCAAGGTCAACATGCAGGATAAATGTATATTCTGCACGTATAGATTAGTGGTGATCCTAGTGATTCCTACAGCTTCAGCTATGGCTAGGAGACACAAGTGCACACTTTTACGCAAGTTGGCATTCGATGAATGAGCGTAAATGCCTCTTTACTTTGATGTTATGTTGACTATCAACTATTTTTTGACTCAGTTATTCCTTTCCTAAGCTAAATCGTTGCATGTTTGCGGGTGTGTCAAAATAAGTTCCAGTGAGTATGGCCTATACCTACACCTAGCTCCACAGGAACAGTTAAAGTTGCATTCGCACATTGAAGTGGCCATTATTGCTAACCTATCTTCAGTGCATTGTGTTAGTACAAGTACTTTTGGTTGAGTAAGTGAAACTCAGTCCTGTGGCTTAGAAAGTCTTTTCAACACTTCTACTCAACCTGCGACTTAATATGCTAACAGGTATGCCGACCTAGAGCTGCATTTTCAAGTGAGGCGGTTATTTTGGATATTTACTTCTTCACAAAATTGGTAGGATAACCGATTTGTGATAGAGTACTTTTCAGATTACCTATTGCATCTGCAATACAATTATCGGAACATATCCGTCTAATACTGATATAATTTTAATTTATCTTTAATGGCTGTTACATTCTCTCATAAATGGATTTATAATTGTAGAATCTGTAGAAGTTATTTAAAACTACTGTTCGTTCAAATTATTCTTGTTCTGAATATCTTATGATTCCATTGGCTTGTTTTGGTATCGATCTTCTTGTTGATGTGACATTTGACCTTTTTGGTTGTATAACCAAAGCTACTGCCTAAATGAAAACGCTGACATAGATTGTGTGAAGTGTGAGCTCCAGTATTAAATCTGAATTTAGTATGCATGCAGTGAGATAGACGAAGTAAACAAGGTTTTGATGTTATACTAATTTATTAAAACAAACTGAATTTTATATCTCCATTCAATCTAGGCTATTACACAACTGCACAGAGTCAAACACAAATCTATTTTGATTCGATGACATTAATTGAGAACTTTGGGTAATCTATGTACTCAAAATAAGTCACGACTAAATGCATGACGCTACATCCTGAGTAGTTGAATACCACGTCAACCGGGAGTGCTTGCTAGTTAGACAGAAGTGATCGAAACACCAGTATTCGGGTGATTTGAGCTGAGTCAAACCTAGTACACCACAAATAACCTAGGTCCCAAACTAATGAAACGGCTTTCCGTCATTTAGACAACTTCGATCTGGTTAGTAACCAGACTGTTTGACATGAGTAGTATCCAACGGCTCATCTCAATCAATCAGTAGTATATAGCGTCATGCATTTATACAAGCTTTGCGATTTGTGTTGTCAAACAGATAACATATTATGATCTGAGTAATTTAGGTTTTATAAAGAAACTGATGAAATTTCGCTTGCTTGAATTGCGTAACTTTCAAATCGTGAATTCATTTTGTTAATTGTGAATTTGATTCAACCCACAAATATGGGATATTATGACTACTTAAAAATGTTTTCATATGAACTTGCCACAGTTAAAAATACTGCTTTTCGGTTGGTGATAGTTAGCAGTGAAATCCAGGACAATAATCTCATCGATTATGGGACTTTCAATGTGGATTCACTTATATCCTCAGTGTTCCTGAACCCAGCATCTACAATTTCAAAAGGCAAAGAGTTAATCAGTACGTTGAAACACTTTTACTCATTGGAAATGCAGGTATATCCAGATGAAGAGCCCTGGACAAGATGAAACAGACGTCCTTGACATCATTACCAACATAACATAATGTTTGCCCCAGCACATCGTCGTACCAGAATGATTTCGCTTCACTATATGATCAATTGTCAGGAAATCCAAAATAACTTTAACAAGTAATAATGGAAAGTTAAACTGATGTTCATTGTAAAAACATTAATTAATGAATTCAAAGTTCATTTCCTCCCTGTTTTTTATTCTTTTTATAATAATAAAAGTTAAAATTAGCCCAGTTAGAAGATACGCAAAAGCTGCCAAAAGTACTTCAAAGATTTAGTGCCAGTTCTGGAAGTACACGTCCAAGTGTACTGACTTCTCAAGCACGTACAGCACAGCTAGAAAATCAAGAAGTAATACTTAAATTACAGAATGCTGAAAGAATTATAGCTAAACTACGAAATGAGTTAGTTGAATTAAAAGAATCATATGCAACACAAAATATTGCTGCTGTACAAGAAGCTGAAGAGGCTAGGTTAAATATGGAAAAAGAATTAGAAGATATTAAAGATAGGTTGTTAACAGTAAGTGAAAATTTTGTGCATTTTATGAGTATAATACATAATCATTAAACCATGAAATGAAAACTTATGTCCTGATAGGATTCTAATTGAATCATTTTACTCTACCAGGTAAACCAATTAGACAAGAAACAGAGACTAATAAGTTCATCATCTCACCTAAATCTTCATGAATTCTACTCAGATGTTATGTAACTCTCCACTTATCGTCATAACGCTAGCTATCCAAGTAGGTCTTTTCTCATCAACCGTATCCATTCATCAATAAATTTTGTTAAGTTTGAGAGTAATTATTTCGGTGCTTAATAAAATTAGTCATGAACCAATGAATAATGCTTTCCATAAACTGCCTATTCATGACATTATCAGACAATCATCGAATACCATAGATGGGCAAGTATCACCAAAGTTGACTCGATTTACTCCGCCGACCACCACTTTTCACTCTAAACCAGCCAACTACTGCTGAGAAGTGATTATTTTATTCCATGTAGACACTTCTCAGAAGCAACCGCTTAATCAACAGCTAACCATGATTACACTGAGGTCATAACCAGATGAACTGCTGCCATTTTCGTTCAAGTTTTATGTAACTATTAAGACGGAAAACAAACTGAACTACGATAAACGTTTCGTCCATGGTAGGTCTTATAAAGGGGATCTATCGTCATGTTAATGAATGATGGTCTCTTGATGAACACCTGAACCAAATTAACCATTATTTTAAACATCATAATTTTACGGAATAAGGTTAGAGTTACACGAGACTCAGTTATTGCGTAAAAAGGTAATAAGTTTTACAACTACGAAATTATAAAGTTCAGTTATCAAACTGGAAACGTTTATTTAATTTAGTATTATGCTGGATCAATGCAGCGAAATATAGTTTAGGCGGTCTGGAAAGTTGGGTTTAGTCACCTGGAGGTCCTGAACTCAGTTTGAGTGCTCACTGACACCTATCGCAAAGGTGAATCTGCAACCTCTAAGGGGCTGGCATCAACTGGAGCCTCCATCGATCAGTCTGACTGTGAAAAGCGTCACCACTGAGGTACTTTGGCAGCAGACAACAGAATTATTACACACTTATCGACAAACTTAAATGAACAGAGGGATGGGTCGACATTAGGTGGAGCGTCGGATGGGATACAATGTCTTTCTGAAGATTAGAGATTCTTCTTCTTGATGTTTCTTGGTTCATGGTCTACTACTTATTCAGTGTTTTCTTGTCTCCCATAACCACATACCAAATGTTAAACGCATACTGGTGATATTATTAAGTATGACATCTATTTACTTGTAATTTTCAAGTGTTGGTTCTCAACAGATCTGATTGATCTCAAAATTGACCAGTAAACTAACTTCATTAAGATTACCATTGAAAACCACAAACTACCAGGAATGTCATCAAGTAAATACATTGCTAATAATATTGAAATCTTTTGCCCAGATGATTGTTCAGCCACTAGCAAACTGTACTGATAAAATTTGACTGTTTTCGCGTTTATCTGTAGAGAACGGCCACCCCTCCGCACACCTCTTGAAATGCTCCCATATGACCGGGCGTCTTACATAGCCTCTCCTGAGGAAGTCCTACTCGCTGCCTTCACGTGGCGGAGGTGTTTTTCACCAAAGTGAGAGGGTGAAAGCGGATGTCCGGCGCTCTTCACCGGGTTGACTGTCCATTGGATGACAGTCTAGGGGAGATGGCTAAACCCTGATTCCAAACCTCCAACGACTGGCGTATGAAGCTCACTGGAGCTCACCGGCAGACGTATGGACAAAGGGCTTGTTGGATGTCCTGGATGTCTGGCCCCATTCAAAAAGGCGTATGAACCGAACTCCGGTCACCGGCTGCCAATGGATAGTGGACTCCCTACTCCACTCCTACTGCCTTGTAGGTCACACTTGGTTGTGTAAAGGCTAGAGCTGCACTCTCGAACAAAAGGCCGAGCGATTCTTGGGGCATCACTCGTACCAAATTCCCATGAAACTTCATGAACTCTTTAGATGTTCATGAAGCCGGCTCATCCTCCCGTAGGAGACAGCCGAAGTAAATTAAAGTAAAGTAAACGGTTAATATAGCTTTCATACCTTTCCACAGCTACGTCATCTTGAAATTTATCGCTGAAATTATCGTGCAACATTTTCTAGATATTTTAAGCCTGCTGATTAGATGTTAAGTTTTTTAGTCATTCCTGTCCTTTTGCAGACTATTCATATCTTCGGAAATTATGAATTGGTTGTTATATCCTACTTTGAGACTGAATTGGTGATGGTGATCACCAATGGAGTCCCGAATGTGCATTTCGTCCTATATGGGACTCGTCGACAGAGTGTACCTGAAATCCCCAGTGAGTGATGTTGTTCTCCCCGCTGATACTCGAAAGTATTGACCTAGTGGACAACGCTTTGGCGTTTGAAAAGAAAGCTACTGTGTTCGTTCCTAACAGACATAACGCCATCACTCACTGGGTATTGCATGTACATCCGGCTCATAAGTCCGAAATAGGATGAAATGCACCTCCTAGATTCTGTTGCCAGTCATCACCCACCAGATTACTCCATGTTATTCCTCAGACACCGTCTAAGCCTTCGTACTAAGAGCCTATATAGTCGATAGGGGCCTAACATTTCAGTCCAACATAAACAGTTGAGATGAAAATCAAACTTGACTAAAAACAAAAAACCACTTCGAAATTCTTGAGAAGTCTGTATATTCACTGCGTCCCTCCTTGCTCAATCCAAAATAGTCAGTGCTGATCAGTTCTTGATCAGGACAAGACTATTATCTTACGTTGACTTCTCCTTTTATTCTCTGTCTATCCATCTTCAGCTATTAACCAAAGAAAGCAAACCGTTAAAACTAATGAATTCTTCACAAAACTAACATCTGAAAATTCTTTTTTACTTTTAATATTTTCCTATCTCATAGATGGAATGTTATCGACAACAAGTAGAATTATTTAGACATCGTCATTTCGAAGTTGAAGAAAATGCTGAACGTGAATATAAAATATGGCAAGAGGAAAGAGATCATTTAGTTTATCAAGCTGAAGAAGCCAGAGTGATGATAAATCATTGGAGTGCACAGATAAAGTGTAAAGTAAGCGTTATTATCATCTCTATTTTATACTGTGAATAGTGTTATGGATAAGCAAAAGATTTCGTTTTGAGCATTTAATATGTTTTACCGTTGTTAAAAGTAAAAACTCAGTTCTTAGAGCTATAAATATTTTGATTTGACACAAGGTAGTTACCGGTTTCATGTATATAGTCCTTCGTTTGTTACAGACTAAATTCCACCAGTTAAATTCACAGTGCGGCCACATGCTAATAAGCTCGTCATTAGACAGTACTCTAAATTATTGTTAGATGGGTGGGAGTAGTCGGCCTTAAACCTCCTAAGTCTCGTCTCTGTTGGCTACTCGCCAATCAACAAGATGTATCTGCATTCCTGAAGAATCTCATGTCTTTTCTAAGATTCAAACCCAGGTAACCCACTGCTGCAGCTAGCGACGTTACGGCTGAGCTATTCGGGCTTGTGATTGACCACCAATAGGACTGTAATGAGTACTTTGACTGGATACTAGGTAGTAACTAATGTAATGTTTCTAGTTATAAATGTTTAAACATGATTATACAATAACCAGTAAAGGGAAAATTGCAGTTAAATCAGAGAAGTTAATGTGTTAAATAGAATCTAAAGCATTTGAATAAAAAATTAAGTGTTAGACAATTAATTTTGATAGAGACTTCACTGCGTATGGAACATACACCCAAATGAAGATATCCTACAAAGTGATTGATTGATCTGCTTGTGAACTTCGTAATTCAAATTATACGTTATGAGTTATGATCAGTGAAATGACAGGTAGTGTGAATACAGTTAAGCTTAGTGTAAATGCTTCTGTATATGATTCATAGACTTGGTTCTTCAAGATAAGCATTCTCAATAAACTATTGCAGAATTATATCAACACTTTCCTTCTCCGGCTAGATACAAGAGATTAGGTATACTGTTTTCTTCGATAACATGTTTTCTCGTTGTATAAAGGAGGCATTTAAGTGCTTTTTCATTTATGGTACTTCATTACATCTTATTTAGGTATTACTTTGAATGAAATTTTTTGGCTGTTAATATATGTGTAAAACTTGGGCAGTGTGGTAGTAAGTAATTCCATATTAGTTTGTTTATTAGATATATCACACAGTGAAACAGTTTTATTTACTAGATGACGTTTCGAACAAAATTTTGAACAAACACTGTGTGATATATCTAATAAACAAACTAATATGGAATTTATTGGCTGTTGGTTGACATGCTATCTAATTCTAAATGTTCACTAGTACGTTTCAACAATTCGTTAATAGTGCGCTGTGTGCACTTAGCTCTAAAGGAGCAAATGAAATGGCATATAAATACACACATACATTATTGCTAGCAACAATGCCACCTTCTCTTTGATTTTTTGATGAATTCGAGAATAGATTAGGAAAGAAATTTAAAATAGGAGTCATTTACCGAGAAGTCACAGTTTCCAGTGTTTTCATTCTCAAGCTGTACAATTATATATATATATATATATATATATATATATATATATACTACCCTTAACTCAGAGTCCAAAAAGCCGTATCAACGAAAATTGCTGAAATGCCTCCATGATAATGAAAGCATGATTTTAAGCTTGTTTGGACCTGTTAACACGAAGTTAGACTACCTTGCTTACTGTCCGTATATGCTATAGTAAATATAGCAGAGGCAATATAGAAAGCTTGGACATGGGTTATACCATTCTCATACTCACTGATGTGACCTTGAATGGTTTTCATTAGTCATCTCAGACGTACTGAAGCTATTCATATGCTAAATTGGTTGGCAGGGATAACGGATTTATTTAATTCGGGGAGCGATAGCTTCGTTTATAGAAGCCTGAAAACTGGAGCTTTCCTATGCGTGCTACTCTTGCCTATATAAAAGCGTTGGGCTAGTCTTGTATGCGAAATGAGTTCTATTAGGCTTGCCTCTGCAGTGCATAACTGATTGGCGCGACCACTAACCGGAGTAACTATGCTTGCGTATACATTTATATTTGTACTAATGCTGCATATGGCCCACTTAAATAGAGGCTTCCTGAGTAGTTGTGCGTACTGTTTCGGTCTTGCATGAAACTGGAATGAGTGTTTTCGTTTCTTTAGAAAATCATTGTATAAATACCCAGTCAATAAATGTAATAATGTGTAAGTTGACTGGTTGATCCTGCCAGTAGGACTGAAAGCAAGAGGCATGTTGCTAGGCTATCCAACTACATTAGAATAAATGTATCCAAATATTAGTTCGCTCATAGTCCTATGTTTTTTGAATAACTTAACAGGTCGCTATTTCCTTTCATTTTACCAGTAGTCAGACGCTTGTCTTAGAGATTAGGCTATGTATGTTTAAGTAGATACCTCAACTCCACGAAACCCTGGATGGCTCATTAAATTAGTTATAGTTCCCTAGATCAAAAACACCACATGGACAACTTTAGTAATTCCAAAACTAATTCATACAACTATGACCTAACCCTCATGAAAACGACTGCTTTTCTTGGAACAGAACCAGCAGGAGCTGTCTAGGGTGTCTCTTTTGAATTCTTTTATGGGAATCAGCACGGAGTTTCAAGATACTTAAGATAGTAAGGCATAGATGCAATAAATAGCGTTCTTCACACTTTTGTCTAAGTTTAACTACTGTGAATTTCAGCACACATATCACACTTTAATTTACTAAGCTAAGATTACTTAACTAGTCTGAGTCTTTGTATAGTGTCAGTAATGTTTTCTGATAAAAAAAATAGTGTAAGGTATTCATTCTGAATTCTAAAAGTTTGGAGAACCTCGCCTAGATTACTAGCTCACTAGTTTTCTAGCCGGTCTCAAGCCCGGATAAAGAGGGAGGATTGAGGCGTGGTGCTACCAACTCCACCCCCCAAAACTTAACCAAATCGCTACAGAAACTTCAACGCACAAATATATTAAAAATTCTAAAAATATAAACAATAACCTTATTTTTCGCTGGAATCGGGGAAGTGAAATGACGCAGGCTGGTGAAAGCCTTCGAGAAGCCAGTCAGCCGATGTGCCTTCTTTCGATGAAAGCAAAAATAAGGATGGGAACGTGGAATATTCGTACAATGTACGAAACTGGAAAGGCTGCTCAGGTAGCCGCAGAAATGAGGAGATATAAAATAGAAGTGTTGTGAATCTGCGAAAGCAGATGGAACGGATGTGGAAGGAGCCAACTGCCAACTGGAGAGACAATAATCTACTCCGGTCACCCACAGGACAATCACGAGCACACCTAGGGAGTAGCCATCATGATGTCAACAACAGCAGCTAAATCTCTCATGCAGTGGGAACCAATCTCCTCCAGGATAATGACAGCCAGGTTCAACTAAAAAGGAAGGAAGGTTACAATCATTCAATGCTATGTGCCTACAAACGTCTCAGAACAAGAGAAGAAGGAGGCCTTCTACAGACAACTACAAGCAGTAATGGACAACGTCCCAAATGGCGATATCAAAATCCTGATGGGTGATATGAATGCGAGGCTGGGAGGAGACAATACAGGAAGAGAACTCACCATGGGTCGCGAGGCCCTCGTTGAAATGAACGACAATGGTGAACTCTTCTCAGACTTCTGCGCCTTCAATGATTTGGTGATTGGTGGCAGTGTGTTCAAACACAAGGATATACACAAGGCGACATGGATTTCACCAGATGGACACACCAAAAACCAGATAGACTTCATTTCAATCTCAAGGAAGTGGAGACGCAGCCTATTGGACACAAAGTCGAGGAGAGGAGCAGATGTGGGTTCAGACCACCATCTAGTACAAGGGACTTTCAAGGTGAAGCTAAAAGCCTCGAGGATAGCTGGGGATAGACCACAATGCAAGTTCAACACGCAAAACCTGAAGGACACAACCACAAAGACACTTTCACTGCAACGTGTTCAACGGTTTTCGGAAGAAAGAGGAGACAAGATAAGGAATAGCTCTCAACGGACACTTGGAAGCTAATAGAGGAGAGGAAAATGGTGAAAGAGAAAATGATTCAATGCAAAGATGGACAAGAGAAAGAGATGCTGAGGTCAACTCACACAGCACTGGACAAAGAAGTGAAGAAGAGTGCCAGGAAGGACAAAAGACAATTCTACGACAACCTGGCCACTGAGGCTGAGAAGGCTGCAGGCAAAAGGGACCTGAGGACATTATACCAGATAACCAAGTCTCTATCCGGGAAGAGATCAGCTCAAGTGAAACCTATAAAAGACAGCCAAGGGAACCCAATTACCAAGGAAGAAAGACAGATTAAACAATGGGCGGACCACTTCAAAAACTCTTGAACCGACCACCACCTGCAACCCGTCCAGAAATACCAACAACAGCACGTACACAACTGCAAGTTGACACCGATCCTCCAACGAAAGCTGAAGTCTTGAATGCAATCAAGCTTCTGAAAGCTGGAAAAGCAGCTGGACCAGATGGAATACCCCCTGAAGCACTGAAAGCGGACCCAGAGACGACAGCAGGTAGACTGACTCCATTATTGCAAAAGGTCTGGAAGGAGGGAAAGGTGCCTACTGACTGGAGGAAAGGTTACCTTGTGAAACTACCAAAGAAGGGAGACTTAGGACTCTGCAAGAACTGGCGAGGAATCATGCTCCTGTCGACGCCAAGTAAAATTCTGATTCGCATCATCCTGGAGAGAATAAAGGACGCACTGGATACAGAACTCCGACCAGAACAAGCTGATTTTAGGAAAGGCAGATCATGTTCTGACCAAATTGCAACTCTACGCATCATCATCGAACAAAGCATGGAATGGCAATCAAACCTCTACCTCAACTTTATAGACTTTGAGAAGGCCTTCGACAGCGTTGACCGCGAAGTAATTTGGAAACTACTCGAGTACTACGGCGTACCCCAAATATTCATCAACCTTATTCAACAGTTGTACGACAAAGGCACATGTCAAGTGATCCACAAAGGAAAACTCAGCGAGGCGTTTGGAGTAAACACAGGAGTCAGACAAGAGTGCTTATTATCACCAATGATAT